CCAGGTACACTCATCTCCACAGTGAGCCAGGATGGGGGTGAAGAGGCCTGTGCCCACAGTGCAGACACGGAGACAGGGGGAGCCCCAGAGGGGGCAATCGGGGAGGCAGAGGGAGGGAAGCCCATCTTGTGGGTGGGTGGGCCGCCGTCCTGCCTCCGAAGTCCCCAGTCTCCTGATCCCTCTGTCCCTTCCACCTGTTTTCTCCTGCGCAGTCTGTGGCTTTCTGTCTCTCCTGGGCTCTGTCTCTGGGCCTACCCTGCCCCCTCCCTGCTCAGCCCTGGAAGCCGGGCTGGGCCCCAGGACGCGGGATCCCCAGCGCCGCTGGCACGTGCCAATCTTCGCGGTGGCGGAGGCGGTGGCCCCGTGCCGCGCCTCCTGCCCGCATAATGCGCTCTAATATTTATTTACATGCCTTTCAGACTATTATTTATTAAGGTATCGCTGCCAACTGTGCGCAGGCTAATTGCTCTTAATGTGCCCCCTCCCGGTTCCCAGGGCGACGCCTTCTTGGTGACACCGAGCGAGCAAGCGCGGGGGAAAACGGGGACAAAGCGGTGCAGGGAAGGCTGCCCAGGGCGCAGGGGTCTTGGGGAGCCGAGCCCCCGCGCAGAGGCTTCTGGGAGCACGTGGGACGGGGGGGGGGTTGCGGAATCCAGTGGGGGCGGGGCGATCTCGCAGAGGCGGAAGCCAGAGACCTCTGGACCTTGGGGTGGTGCAGGAACCCAGGTGGGACCTGGAGCTGGTGGGGGGTCCCTGCGTAAGACCAGCAGGACCAGCAAGTGTGAGGTTCCGATGCATCACTGTGCCTGGGCGGGGGGGGGGGGGGGGGAGGACCCACAGCCCTCCCCCTCCGCACCCCACCAGTGTAGGCGGAGGCCGCGCCTTGCCTGGTTCTCCAGAGTCAGCAGCCGCCTCTGGAGCCGGAGGGAGCAGTTTAATTGGGAGGATTTTGGGTTAAGGACAGATGTGGCTTCAATGGAGCTGGAGACAGACGTGTGGGGGATTGGGGAGGGTGCTGGTGGGGAGGAGGGCGGAGCAGCAGACCGGGAGACCCCTGGCTCATGGCGGGGTGACTTTGGAGAGGGGGCTGGAGGGGAGAAGAGGGACGACAAAGGGAGCCCTGCCATGGAGCCCCGCGGGGGTGGCGGCCACCTGATGTAGATCCTGGTCCCCTGGCTGGAATCACCAGATCATCCGTTGTCTGCACGACCCCATTTCAGGCAGCTGTCTAGGTTGGAAGAGAGGGCTGACTTGGGGACAGGCATTTAATTTTATTACTGGCACTGCAGGTACAGTCCCAGGCCCTGTCAATGTGTCCCGGGAAGTTCCCTCTCTGGTGGGAGTTGCAGCTTCCTACAACCCTGAGAACTTTGCCCTGCCCCGCTGCAGTGTGTAACAACTCATCTAAAGGTCGCTGTACACAGGCCTTCTGGGACATCTTAGGAGCCACAAGGGTAGGTGTGCTGAGAGGTGGCTTGACCAGCTACAGTGTCAGATGTTGCCCGGCTGGTGGGCTGTCCCTGAAGTTTAATGCCAAGTGGCTGCAAAGCTTTCTGGAGAGGAATCTGCCGGACCTCCTGGTCGGTGGTTTCTGGGCATTTGCAGACAGCTGTTTGCTCTCTGTGTTCTCTGGATTCCTAGAGCTCGTCACCATCCCTAACCCTGAACTAGGTGTCACCTTGCTGGGCTCCAGCTCCAGAAAGCTGGGATCTTTGGCCCAGGAGAAGTGTCCTGTCTCCTGAAGGGGTGACAGAGCTGCAGGGTGGGTGAGGCAAGGTGGGCATAATCCTCACTGTCTTCCAGTATTCAGAAGTCTGGAATCAGACTGTTGTACTCACAGCCCCAGAGTTGGAGGGAACCCTGGGAATTATCCAATCCACCTCTTTGCTTAAGAAACATGGAAACCAAGGCCCAGAGAAGAGAAGTGACTTGCCTAGGAGCACACAGTCTGTGTGCCTGAAATGACGTGTGCCTTTGCTGGATGATTTCTATTGCGGTATCAGGGGGTCTAGGTTTTACTACAGAGTGGGGAAGGGATCAGGTTTATCTTCTGTGGTCCAGCCTTCCTTCCAGCCTGTTTGTATCCTTGCCACCTTCTAACTCTTGGCCTCAGGACCTAGCCTGTGAGCTTGTCTCTCTGAACTCTCCTGTCTGTCTCTATGCTCACCTACGCCTGCATGTGTTGGAGACCACTACAAAGCAGCTCTGAGCAGGATTTAAATTTTATTAATTGGCTTTCTATGTTTATCTGTGAGTCTGTCCTAGGCCTAGGCCCCTTGCCTGGTGACGGGAGCTGATTCATAGTAAGTGAACTCTATGAATCACTGTCCTGGCTGAGGCCTATAGTGGCCTGTGAGGCCGGAGATACCTCAAAGGGCAAGATAAGGTCGCAGCTGTGGACACTCTGGCTCCAACCCCAGTTAACAAGGTAGAGACTGCAGCTGCAAAGATTACTCCTACAGTCTCACTTCTACCATGTCTTCATGATAAGACCATGCCACTAAATTGACTTGATTCATGACTTGGAGATGTCCTTGAAGTGACTCCCAAGTCCCTGCTCATCGCCTGCGCTTTCCTCAGTCTCCACCCTTTGTCCTTGGTCCTACTATAAGTGGACTGATCCAGAGAACCTTTCCCTAATCCTCAAAGTCTGGATTAAAGTCTTAATTAAAGGGTTTTGACCCACCTGGAGCCTTAAAAATCATACAATTTGTCTCTTTTTATTTAACCTCCGCCGTACACTCGTTGGGGAGATCGGGGATCTAGGACAGAACCTGATATGCATGCACATGTGTTTCATCATGGCCATTCTGAGGTCATTACTTTGCAGCCCAGTGTGGATGCTGAGACCTGATGGAGTCGGTTGTTCGGAGACCTTCATGACCTAGGACGGGGCCTGCCCTACCAGGGTCTCTGTCCAGCTGCAGAGTGACAGGGGAGTAAGCAGTATTTTCTAAGCACCTTTTCTAGCTTTGACATCCTGGAAGTACTCAGAGTAGGAGCAGCTGGGACGTGGGTCTTCCAGAACAGGGTCCCCGTGCAGCTTTTCCTGCTGGGGGCAGCAGTGGGAGTGGGTTCTGGGCCCCAGTCTGCAGTGTGTGACGAACAGGGAAGGACAGGAGGGTTTGTCATGGTTGCTTCCCTGTGCTTCCTCTTCCCTGGCTGCCTTCCTGGTGAGGGACAGGAAGAGTCGGCCTGTACTTGCCTTCTGGGGAGGGGTGGGGAGGTGGGATCTGGGCAGGGGGAGAATGAGATCAGTCCTGGCAGCTGAGCAGTGAAGAGCAGTTCTCCCTTTAACTCAGGACAAAATGACAAACTCAGGATCAAAAGCTCCCCTCACCCCCCTCTGTACACTTTGGCCCGAATGCTGCAGGTCTGGAGTGGACCATAGGTGAAGTGGAGGCATGAATGAATAGTTTGCTGGCCCCAGAATTCGAATCCTGCCCCTACTAAATGTCCAGCTGGGTGATCTTAGGCAGATAATGTGATGTTGCTGAACTTAAATTTCCATGTTGCTAAAGCCAAAAAAGAGATTTAGTAGGGTTGTGAGGAGCAAATGAATCAATGGAGGAAATATCTGCTATTTAGGAGCCCTCAAACGATCGCTTCTGACTCTTGTTTTACTAAAGACCGATAGAATGAACCAACCTCTCATCTCGCACTGAGTACGCATTTACTGAGCAGAAATCTAGGAGGTTCCAGGTGTTGCCAGAGGGTCTAGAAGTAATGAAGTCTCCATCTCTGCTGCTGGGTTGCTCACGGTCTGATGGGTCAGCTACACGGTCAGCTACAAAGGCCTGATTCAGCACTGAGGAGCGCGCGTAACAGCTCTGACCGAGAGGACACCGGCCTGCAGGAACAGAGGTGGCATAGCCACCTCGGGAAGGCTTCTTGGAAAAGGCAGGTTCTACATTAAACTTGGAAGGATGACAGGTGTTTGTCCTTTGGAAACTCCCAACAAATGCACCAGAAACATGGTAGACTTGAAGAGCTTGTTTGGGGAACATTCCAAATGCAGTCTCTGCTTTTATGTCACTTTTTCAGGAGGCTTGAACAGCACCTTCCCTGTCCTGTTCCTCCCTGCCTCTAACACCTCTGCCCTGTCACTTTGGCCGTAGTATATATTTACTAGATCGTGTGTTTCTCATCTGTCTGTCTCTACTGGAACATCAGCCCTAAGAGGGCAGAGTGATGGGTTGAATTTTGTTTCCTTAAATTCTGAAGTTCTACCTCCAGCACCTCTGACTATAACCTTATTTGGAGATAGGGTCATTAAGAAGAAATTAAGTTAAAAACGAGGCCACCAAAGGAGACTTTAATTCAATATGAGTGATGTTCTCCTGAGAAGGGGCCTTTGGAGACAGGCAGTTGAGAGATGCCCTGTGAAGACTGGGGTTTGCTGGTGCACCCTAGGGGCTATGAGGTTGGGAGAGAGGCGAGGGACTTGTGGCCCTCAGAGGTACCTGCTGACACCTTGATGCTGGCCTTTTGGCCTTCTGAACAGAGAGACAATAAATGTCTACTGCTTAAAACCCCAGTCTGTAGTGCTTTGATATGGCAGCCCTAGCAAACCTATCCAGCTTTGTTTCATTTCTCACTGTATTCCGGAGCCTAGAACAGAGCCGGGATGTAGTAAGTAACTCAGATCATAGTTCCTGAGGAAATGCTCCCCAGTGTGACATGTGGGAAGGGGAAGAAGGAAGATGAAAAGTCTAAGTTGGGTGAAAGGTTTTGTCTATCAGGCTGAGAGGCTGGACTTGCCCTCCATTGGTGGTAGAGAGGCAGTGGGCAGGTTTTAGAAGGCTTCCCTGGGGGCAAAGAGGCCAGCCTGGGGGCAGGGAGAGTGGGAGCTTCAGTAAACAGCGAGAGTGAACAGTGATGGGGGCAGGGGGGTAGGTGGCAGTGCAGACCCAGGGGGACCTGCGGAGGCAGGGCAGAGGGCGGTATAGAGGAGGAACTCGGGGTCTTCATTCCTCCCGATTGTTCTGTTCTTTCTCCAGGTCTTTGCCTGATCAAATCTGAACCCTCCTACCAAGTATGCAAAGCTCGTGAGGCTTGCGGTCATCTCGGTGGGTAAGAGGAGAGAGGGTCGTGGACTGGGGCGAGTGGGTAAGAAGACGGGCTCCAAACTGACTACTACCTGCAGACAGAATGCCAAGACAGGTGCCATAGGAGCTCAAGGAGGGCACAGCCTCCTCCCTCAGAGATCTCCCCTGTCTGATGGAGGAGAAGAGATCTCTGCCTCTGGAGACCTTCCAGTCTGATGGGAGAGGCAGAGAACACACACACACACACACACACACACACACACACACACACACGCATACCACACACACAACACACATGCACACGCACACACACACACACAAAGACACGCATGCACGCGCATATTAATAAAATATGCCACTTCCTGGAAGGAGGTGTGGGAAAGCTTCCTGGGCTTTGCATGGTGAGCCAGCCTAGTAACTGAACCCCACCCCTCGGGTGGGAGTCGTTATCAGCACAGCCTTTCAGTGGGCTTCCTAGCCATCATGAGGCACTCGTTTTTAGCAGAGAAGAAAGACTGTTGTCAGAGGACAGGAATAGCTTTCGAACTGTTCCCCACAAGCTAGTGTGCAACCGCCCAGGGCTGAGAAGGCAGTGCACACCCACAACGCCCTCTGCTGGACAGATGGAGCAGCGCTGGGGGCTTGAGCGCCCAGGCCATCTGTGTAGATAGCCCCTGCTTTCTTGTTCTGGGGCACCCTAGTTGCTGAAGCCATCAGTGCAGGGGAGATGAGGACTGGGCCGGCACCTGAGAGGGTCCATGTCTGCCACCTGGAGGACCCAGTCCTTTGAAAGCACCTCGTCTCAGGAAGCCATTGTGAATTATCTCCTTTTCGCCATCTGACTTCAGGAACTGCGGCTGGCCACCATCCTAGAGTCCCTCTCCCACCTAAGGACCCTTCCCATCAATTTTGACCCCTGGTGACCCATTCTCAACGTATTACAGGGAGCATGGGCCCCTTTCTTTCTCCAGAGCCCTGGATCTGGGGGAGCCAGACTTTGGGTGCAGGCGATCTGGATTCCAGGAGGGATTTATGATCAGCAATTCCTAGTGATGCTCAGAGGAGATGAGGCAATGGAGGATTCTCGACAGAACCAGAGAGCTAGGAAGAGCTGAGCCAGGACCCACCTTGGTATTTCCTCCTCATCTCAGTCCAGCCTAACGACGCATTGAGCCCAGGGAGCTCACATTTTTGGAAGGAAGTGGATACCACAGGAAGGAAGACCGCAGAGCCCCGGAAACCTCAGGCACTGTTTTCTGGAGAGAACCCAAGAATCCTGAGCCAACGCGTCTCCCAAAGGCAGTGTGTCCCATTCATGTAGTTCAGGGAGGTGTTCAGGGGCCTTTGGGTCCCCCGAAGCTCTGAGCTGCAGGGGGGGCAGTGAGGGCCTTCTGTGTCTCAGGGATGAAATCATCTGGGGGGCCACACTGGTGAGCAGGGTTCTGTTGCCTGTTTAATTTCAGCCTGTTTCCACTCAAGTCATCCCTGTGAGGGCTACTGGCGTGTGGAAGAAATGTCTTTGGCCTGTTGGAAATTCTTTTCTCAGTCACCTCTTCTCCCTGAAATCTACAACAGGATGACTATCTTTAAGGAAATAACAAAAGTTGCTCCGGGATTTCCAAATGTTTAACTTTGGGGCCAGTTCGTGTGGGTCCCAGGACAACATGCTATTTTTGAATAAATATATTGGGTGAATAAATACACTGAGCCATCATTAATTACTTCTTGGAAAAGTCTGTACTGTGAAAGCAGCTCAGGAGGGAGGGGCAGCAGGCGCTGGAGGTGCCTTAGGTGGCCACGTAGCTTATTTTGGTGCAGTGCACGTGGGCCTGCTTCTGCCAGTACCCATGTTTCTTTCTTTTTTTTTTTAACTCAAAAAAAAAAAAAATCAATTTCACAGTTCAGCTTGCTGATTTCAAACTAAATCGAAAGTACAGAAAATATGTTTACCTTTTGTCATTTAGATTGCCTCTGCCTCAATAGTGATGCTTCTGGGTCATTCGTCATTTCAGAGGTCTTGGAACAGTACAGAGTGTGTCTGGAACTTCCAATCTGCAATGAGGCTGAATGTTTGTCTTTTGTTATTTGTGTGGAGGAGGAGCAGGGGATGAGGGGAATCACGTTAGACATTGTGTCATGCTGTCCTTTTGCCAGGACCTGTGTGTGTTTGCCTCGTGGCTTTCTCTGGCTACAGGAACCTGCTTAGCAAGGGCACTTGAGGTAGACCAGCAGGGACGGGTGCCCCAGAGTGGCTCCAATGAATGGCTGAGTGGATTTGGTATCTACACACCCCATTCATTCACTGACACCCTAGCAGCAACATTTCCTTTACTGTCTCCATTTTATCCCTTATTTCTCTAAGGGTATTTCCTGGGATCTCCCAAGCATGTTCACTGAATCTCTATCTCAGGCTCTGCTTGAGACACCACTGTGATCAGGACTGTCCCAGTTTTAAAGCTGAAATCCCACACTGTAGCAATCTGTCTTAGTTTCAGACAAATTGGGACAGTTGACCACCCAAACCAAGACAGGTGTGACTCACTAAGCAAGGCAAATATATCCCTGAATCACTGAAAGCCAGGTATAAATGGACTTTGAGAACAAAAGAGCAGACACAAGTATAGTTTTGCCATGTTGACAGTTTTTTTATGAGCTCAAAGGAGAACTGCAGCCACCATATACAAAGAAGCCATTCCTTTGAGAACAGACACAAACAGCCCAAGGGCAGGGTTCGCAAAGGATCATGGGCATTAGACAGGTAATGACCTGGCCCTCCACAACATCTACATAATTGGTCACCGGACAAGAAGGTGATGTATATACTCCAAGAACAAGAAGTGTCACAGGCACTGTAGGGACATTACTGTGTGCAGGTGAAGGGACAGGACAGCACGTTATAGGCACTTGAGGCTCTGACAGAGACAAGCACCGGCCATGCCACTTGAGCCAAAGCCACCCGGGCAAATAGTTAAACTATACCACGCACATCGCCACGGTCAGCACATTGAGATGAGGCGCTTTGCCTTGGAAGCAGCTGTAAGTTCAAGGCGGCTGGCCCCGAGCCAAGGAGAATTGCAGCATGGACAGGAGAAACCCCCGCTTTGTCAGGTGACTCAGGGAAGCAGTGCTGTTGACAGGCTGCTGTCAGCAGCCTGGGGCAGGCTGGACACAGGGGTCAGGGTTGCTCCGCAGTAGGGGGCTGGAGGCCTGGTCAGGCGCTGTTGCCAAGCTCCTGACCTGGGGACAGATCTCTATGGATCAGATTATCCAGTTGCAAAATGCCACACACGCCTCTGCCCCAGTTATTTTTAACATTGGCGTTGTGGAGTGTGCTATGTTACAGATGTGGGATGTGCATATTTTTGTTGCTGTTGTCACTGTTGTTGACTTCTTTCCTCCCTGTGAGGGGGAAAAGAAGACCTTTCCCAAGTGCTTAGGCAATAAAAATACGGTCTATTGTCGGGGTGGCGGTTTCTTCCTTTTCCCTCCCAAGGGCACCGAAAATGTTGAATATATTTATGTCTGGGGTCACTTGGAGACATGACAAATTGCAGGTGGTGAGACACTGTACTTGGTGTGGCCAGTGCTGGGCTGTCACACAAATTCTAGCAGGTGGGGGGGACACCCTTTTCTTCACTCCCTGACCTTGGGAGTCCTAGATAAGGAAGAAAGAGGGAAACAGTAGCCAACAGAGGAAGAGACCTGGCCCTCAAATAAGGGTGGAGCTCAGCTGGGTATGATCAGGACTTAGAGGAAACTTCCAGAAACCGAAACTGACAGGTGAACCAGCTAGAAAGGAGGAAGGGAACCTTTGCTTTCTCACACATAAGAAGAGCAGAGGAAAACCCAGCAGGGCTGGTCCTGGAACCAGCTCCTCCATTTATTAGCTGTGGCAAGTGCCAGTGCAGGTCGGGGGCACAGGGCATGCCATTCCTTTAGCCTGCAGGCTGGGGACTCGCTAAGAAACACAGGTGTGGGCTGGAGACAGAAGCGACTTCTTTACAAATGCATGCTGAGCTTTTCTGAGGGCAGGGCCTAGGTTTCCTGCGATCCAGAGATGGTCTCTTCTGCTGAGAGAAGACTCAGAGACAAGGCTCTGTGCCTTTGCCAGGTAGGAGGTTAAACCTCATGCACCCCATTTTAGGGACCCCTAGATCTACCGGGGTGCACTGCTGACTGCACAGCACCAAGTGCATTGGAGCCAGCTGTACCCAAACCATCTGTGAGGGTCTGTGAGCTCATAAAGTGGCTTAGTGCAGATGGCATCCAGGCAGTGCCAGTCTGCAGCCACATCTAGCATGACAGGATGGGGGGGGCGGGAGTATGATTTGTCAGGAAAAACCCACCTGCAACCCCAGCGGGTGGGAAGAAGCTGCATGGGAAAGACTCTTCAAATGCTTCTTGCCAAGCTCCACAGGGGCAGAGAGCGCATCTAGCGTGTTTGTAGCAGTGCTCCCCAGTTTGTAGCTGGATACAGCAAGCAAAGAACCCCCAGGGAGGTCTAGACCAGCATTTTCTAACTGAGCAGGCTGGACTTGCTGCACGTGGGTCACCTCATTGGATCTACACATCACGTCCTGACCTAAAGTCTGTTCTCCCCGTGGTTCCCCGTACCTTCGCCAGGGAACAGTTTCCCATGGGTGGCTCATTCGCATCTCACTTGGAAATGCTGATTGAGTGATTCTCCCAAAAGTTGAGACAGGGCCTCAGAGGAAGCACAGGATGTGCCGGAAGTCACACAGCCTGCTGGTGACGGGATTAGGACCAACAGTTAGGCCCTCCATTCTTGGCTCATTTTTTTTTTTCTCACTGAAGGCAGCCATTAGCCTGTCTTCAGACAGTGTAGGGCATCCGTGTGCCTTTGTATGACTCAGGAGACAAGAGCTGGTTTAACAAATCAAATCAGATGAATCCAAATTTTCCCAGCTTGCATGGGCTGTGGACCGTGCAACCCCGTTAGCCTCTAGACAGTGCTCGTTGCCCAGGGCTCTTATCTTTTCTTTCACGAGTCTCTCCAGTCCTCTGCTTGGCAATCCTGGCAGGAGATTGTCGAGGTCGTGAATCATTTCTATACGACTGGTGTTGCCTTAAAATTGTCTCTTGTCTAGATGTCCTTCCACAGCTCTGGAGTTACTTGAAACCAAAAAGGATTTGTTCCTCTGCACTTGGGTGCTTGGCAGAGGAGCTTGGCCTGAACTCCGGCTGCTGCTGCAGGGGCGCGTCTAAGGGGCGCGGACTAAGGGCTTGCTGGAGAAGGAGGTGGTGTGTCCATCACCTCGCCGGGTTTCTGGGTCACACCGTCCAAGCAGCTTATGCACTGGTCACCCTGGGCAGGGGCTGCACTGCCTCAAATCCTAGTCACTGTCTATACTAAGGCCTACAGAGTGAGAATCAGGCTCATGGGAAAATGGAGGAAGGGGCTGACCAGCTGGCAGGGGCTCTATTCATGTTAGAGAGGGAGAAGAGGCCCATGCATGCATGACTTGTTCAAGGTCACATGGAGAAATGGAGCAAATCCACATTCCTAAGAGGGAGAAATTTAGAGGCAGATCGTCTGGGAATGTCAGAGCAGTGTGCAGACCCCCGGCTCCAGGACACCCAGCGCAGCAAAGCCACTGCCCAAACTAATCAAGGCTGAGATCTGAGCCCCGGCACTCTGACTTGAACATGACGTGACCATTTTTCCATCAGTGTTGGACCAGGAAGTGAATACTGCCCCCTCCATTCTTGCTCTGAAGCTAGGGTTGCAGGCCACATAGCTAAAGAAGTGGGGGGTGAGGGAGGAGCACAAGGAGATGACACTGTGGTCCTAATACCTCTTTGGGGCCTTGAGTAACGCAACCTAGAGCTCTTGTCCTCCTTGGTGGCACTGATGTCAAGTCCTGGCATCCTGTTCCACTGGAGTCACAGTGGCATAGTGTCAGGGACTGCTGGCTGGGTTCCTCCCAGAGGAGCCCAGCCAGCCAGTGAAGCGGGGATCACTGAAGGCTGCAGGGCTCCTGCTGGGAGATGCTGCATGTTGGTAGGAAGGTGGGATGGGACAGACCCAGTGCACCACATCCGGTCACATTTATACCTGCTGGAAATCCGTTGGCACCTCCTCCCTCCCTCTGGCCCCTATGGTAGATTGGCCATTCTTTGAGTCTTAATGAGGCTTGGACTTGTGCCAGAGCCACTACACAACTACAATCCGCAAAATGGGGATGTCTGTAGGGCTCGTGTCAAGGTCTTGGGGCTGTTCTTGGGAAAGGAATTTGATGAGCAGAGGCTAAGGCCTAGCAAAGAGGGGTTTGGGATATGCCAGTTCAGCCTAGAGGCCAGGCCCATCTCTGAGGAGTCTGTAGGGCAAGGACAATCCCCAATCATGGGGGAATGAGGGGCTGGGCCCACCAATCTATGAGTATCATGTGGTGGGTCTGGGGTAAGGAAGCCCCAGCTTTGATGTTTCATGATCTTTCATTTTTCCAAACCAGTCATGCCACCTAGCTGAAGCTACATCTCCTAATGCACTGCAGTCAAGCATTGCTTTCTGTTGCAAAGATATTGTAGTGTGGTTGGAGAGGGACCCCACTATCCCAGAATGCAGTGCACATGGAAGTGCCTCTCTAGCTTCTCAGCACAAGTGCATGGGGTCCACTTTATCCAGTTGCTGAAGGTATGGACATTATTTCAGGTATCACCTGCTCTCTTCCCTGACTTCGGTGAGCAGGTCTATTTCTTTGGGTTGTTCCTGCACAGACCGAAGCTTCAAGCTAATACTTTGGCTTTCAGGGTCTCTATCTCCCTGGGCCCATCACCTCTCCTTAGACAGGAAGTCCCAGAAATCTGAAAACTGGGACTAAAAAGTTTCCCTGCCCAGGGAAAAGCCCTCAAGTAACTTTGGAAGGTATTAGGAAGGATGGGTCTCCAGTTGGTTTTGAAGTGGGAAGTGGGGTACCCAAGACTGTCTCCTTGGGGACAAAAGCCTATCCCCAGTATAATCCAAAGAGGAGGTCTTTCAATGCCTAGATGTAGGCTTGTAAGTCTGGTTACTTTAGTTCCTGGGTTCCACTGGCCCTTTTATTAGGACTGTCTCTACTCTACCCCCTTTTGGTTTTCTTCCAGAGAAAATTCAGGCTTGGCTGTGTTTTCATTTGCCATCGCCTAAGCATCAAACTCCAGGGTTGCCTGAAATTCTGGGCAGAAAGGAACATTTGAACCATTTAAAGATCTCATCCTGCTGCCTCATCCCAGCCTCTTATTTGGTAGAGAAGGATGCTGAGACTCAAACAGCGACAGGGACTGACCTCAATTGCACAGCTAGGTGGTAGCAAAGTTGGGCTGGCACTCAGGCCTCCTGGCTGCCATTTCAGGGCTCTTTCTAGCATTCAGTGTATTGGCTACAGCATCAAAAAGTTCCTCACCAGGCCAGAATGGCCCATCCAGCCCCACCACCAACCCCTTCCCCTCTACACGTAATTTGGGTTATAGCAGAGCATATTGAACTCCAGATTCTCATCCCAGTGCCGCAGGAGCACAAATAGCTGGCGGGCGGCAGCCTTGAGTGTGGCCTGTGTGTGGCCCTCAGGTACCTCCTGCTGCTCCAGCCACGAGTTAGCCTTGGCAGCCACCAGCTCCCACTCAATGAAGTAGGAGGCTGAGCTGTGTTCCAGCCAGGCCAGCGCCACCACCGTGGCCCACAGCTTTCCCATGTGCTCCTCCAGTGCCCTGGGCTCTGAGCCTGGCCTGCCCTCAGCCAGAGGCTCCAGGGAGACGCCGTTGCAGGTTAGGTGCTGAGGTGAGGGGCCGGTGCACAGCTGGCGGGCAGATGACGCTCGGTGGGGAGAGAAAGGCGAGGTCCGCATGAGCTTTTCCGTGGGGATGTGGATGGCCTCGCAGAAGGCTTGGTTGAGCAGGAAGGCCCCGGAAGCCAGCTGCAGAGACACCTGTGCGTGGGGGAGCCCCTCAGTGGGCCTCACACGTTCCAGCCCACAGAGCCCCAGGCCATGCAGAAGTCCCCGATCCTAAAGCTTTTTCCCATGGGTCACACTTCAAGCCCAGCTCAGAATCTTTGCTCCATACCTACCCCTTACTCTGGATGGGTGGGCCCAACATGGCTGTCCATGGGGGCTGTCCAGGGCCATCCTGAAGACTCTGGCCTGTTCACCTCTCATCCTATCCAGATACACCCATCCATTTCTAAGTCCCAACAGGCTCACTTTCCAAACAGCTCTGCAATCCACCGTCAGCCTCCCTGCCTCTCCCTCCTCTTTTCCCCTGCTCAATCCCTCCGCTGTGCATGGAGGGACCTCAATGAGCCATAGATCGTCTTCTTTCTGGAGGTTCAGTTCCACGGCTTCCGTTATCTCTCAAAACCTAAGTCTAGAACACAATTGATAAATCTTGCACAACCTAGCCTTGTTTGTCAAGGCTCTCACTCCTCAAAAACAAACTCTAGCCATCAAGCTGTCCCTCTGTTCTCTAATTCCTCGTCCATCAGATCTTAGTTCAGCCATGTGTGATGCTACCACTGTCCCCATAGCAGGCCTGGGTCAACTTGCATTTCCCCTCCAAACCGGACCTCTCCTTTCACAGCTCCCAAGTGTAGAATTGTCAGGTTCTTTGCCTGGGTCTCACTGGACACAGCACTGTGAATTCAGGTGATTACATCCCTCTAGTTCAAAGACATCTCCCTAGGGTCTAGCACTGAGCCTGACTCCATAAATACTTGCTGAGTGCTCAATTCCCCTGGCTATCTGAGGATTCAAAATGACCCTGTGAAGTGAAAGCCATGTCCTTCCTCTGAGCACTCTGTGATCTCTGAGCCCCAGAAGGCCCCAGATGCTGCAGGACTCGCCTGTTTTGTTCTCGACTTGGAGAAGCCCACTCCAGACCTGCACTTCTCTCCTGCCACAGCATGCTGGGGCGTCTGCAGAGCCACTTGCTAAACATGGAGCATGTCCCTGGGGTGTTAATTTTACTCACTTTTGAGTCATCTCAAGGCTTATTTTTATGTACTGAAAAACAGACACACATAGACGGTGGAGGGAATGCAAAATGCCCAGGAGTTTTTAAGGGAGAGACAGCAGATGGCAAAGAAGTTTTGTGATACTAGCATTGGCTTCTAGCACCATCTCTAGGCCCCTGGGCAGGGCACTCATGCCAACTCCCTCTGCCCTGTTGGCAGCTTGGGTGGGAAGCTCCGGGACCCCCTCTGGGGATCTGTGCTTAAAGTGAGGTCTCTCTTTCTTTTGGGAACAAGGGGGCAGGTCCCCAGGAAGGCCTGGCTGCCCAGTAGCATGGGCGGTGGAGATCTGGGGCACTCACCAGTGGGACATAGTCAAAGCTCTGGCTTCCTGAAGTGGACTCTGCGGTCTTGACCAGCGGCTTGCCCAGGAAGCCCTTGGCTGCTCGAGTCAGCAGCCTGGACTTGTTGAAATTCAGCCTGTGAAGGAGGAATTCAATGTCTCTCCTCATCCTGGTTCCCTGGGACCCACCCAGAAGCCTGTGACAGTCAGGCCCGGAAGGATCCAGGATCTGATGGGAGCCCCCCTCCTCCTCCTTCGGTGGCTGGAGAAATGGAAGCCTCAGGAGAGAAGACGGATCTGCCCCCATGTCCATCAGCAAGTTGTCAGCAGCAGGACAAGGCGTGGGTTTGTTCCTTTTTTTGATATCGTAACCTTGTCCAGGCCAGTAGTGGGAAGTGCTAGACTCCTCCTAGAGGATCTGTGTTTAAAGAAACCACGGAACTGTGGGAGGCAACCTACACTGTATAGGGGGTCGGCAGTGAGAGCCGGAGGACGGTGTTACCTCTGGCCCCCATTTCGACATTGCACTGTCTGTCTCTGGCTCCCCAGCGAGGGACACCTCGGGAAGGTGGGAGCCAGCAGAGCACCAGGGCCTCACGGGAAATCCTACTTACTTGGCACCAAAGAGCGTCTCCGAGGCCTTCGTGGAGGAAAAGGTGTTGGTAGGCAGGCTTGCAGGTTGCAGGGGACCTGCAGGGCCACAGAGTGACAGAGTGAAGCCTGACAGGTGACCCGCTGAACTGCTCACTACTGAGCTGGGGGAACAGAAGCCCTTGGGGGAGGGGAGGCAGGGACTACCTGTGTCGCTAGGGACCTGGGCTAACCAGCTGCAGGGCTGTTTCTGACCCAGCTCATACACGGAAGGGTGAAATGTGTGAGAAACTGGCCTCCGTGTGTCCTTGGCAGGTGGTCACTGGTGTCTTCTGGGAGGGCCCGTATGGGGGTGGTTGACAACCTTACATCCACTCCTTTCATCCCCAAATGGGGACACTGCTGGAGGATGCTAGGCAGAGTGCAGGGGTTCAGTGACCCCTCAGCTGGACTTGGGGGGACCTGCCTGCTACTAACTCGCTGTGCGACATTGGGTAAATCACTTCCCCTCTTCAAGCCTCAGTGTCCCCATCTTTAAATTGGGAAGACTGTTTAGAGGCATCAGTGGGACTCAGAGCCCTGTTGGTGCTCAGTCCCTCTCCTGGTGCCAGGACCAATGTCACCAACTTCACTAAGAGAGACTGTGCCAGCTGCCGCTGCTTACCTTCTGAAGCCATGTGCTTCTCTCGGCTGGGGGACAGGAGCTCACTGAAGGGCGAGGTCGGCCTTTCCTCCATGGCTACAACATAGAAAACCAGTGAGGCCTGAGCTCTCTTGGCCCTCCCCTTCTCCCCTCCCATGCTTGAGCTCAAATCGCAACACCCCACTGACTAGCTCTGGGCCCTGTCAAGTTATTTTGCTTATAAGTTTCAAGGACTCTGATCTCAGAGTCCTTTTAAGGATTAAATGAGATGATACACAGTGCTTAGTGCTCAGCTAAGCACCCAATAAAACCCATCCCTGCAGAGCCAGCAGGGAAGCAGGCACAGATCAAGGGCTTTAGGGTGGGCTGGAGGCTGGGATGAGGATTAGGCATCTCCACCCAGGTCTCTGCCTCATGGAAGAGATGGCTCATGCTAACTCTCCATGGACACCAGAATATGACACTGACTTGTTGGAGGTCTCAGAGCCTCAGTTTGTCCATCTGAAGGATGGGAATCATCACTGCATACCCTAAGTTCAAAATGCATACTTCAGGTGATTATTCTTAAATTTACCATTTCAAGGGTTAGACTAGTGGGACAACTTACTATAAGGGAAGGTCCAAATTACAGGAAAATTTCCATGTATGAATATGATGAGCAAAGTCTCTGTCTGCCAACATGAGACCATTATCCTGACCACCTAGCGCAGGAGTGAACTACAGACAGAATGACTGAATGACCAAGACAACCAGGACACAGCTAGGCGGATGCTTAACCTCACGACCTCAGGGCCAAACACTGGAATCAGGCCGTGGCTCCATCATAGCTGTGTGACCTTCATGAATGTCTTAACCTCTCTGAGCCCCCGTTTCCTTATTTTAAATTTGGAATGATCAAAGAAGCTTTTGTGAGGCACTCTGCTTAGGTCAGTGTCCCACACAAAGAAAACTTTGTGTCCTCATCTTCCTTAGGAAGGGAAAGGGAATGGGGCAGAATAACAGTTTAGAGGTCAGGTTAACCGGAGTGATTTGGATGGAGGCCACAGGTCACCAAGAGCTGAGTTGGGAAGATGGAAAGGGTGGATGGGAAATTCCTGGGAAGCTCAGTGTGGCTCAGGGACAGAACGGGGACCCTGGAAGCCAATGGGACCAAGGGAATGGCAGAACTTTATTTGAAGAGAAACTCTGGGTGTCAGCACCTCCCTGAGTGTTTTTTCCTGCCAATCCTAATCCCTTGGATCGAACTTTCTTAAGTGTGGCTGGCTGGGCTGGAGGCCAGGTGGGATCCCCAGGGACATTTTCACCATTGCCAGTGAGGCACAAGGAAGGGGTCTGCACTTAGGCTGCCTTTAGAGAGTCCAAAAGACATGCACGCATGCAGGATGCCCAGGAGCCATCCTGTAAATCAGTGCAAGGTCACACAAAGCTCAGATTATGGCTCTATATTTAAGCTGCAGGCACAGTGAAATCATGTGAGGGCCAAGAAGACGCTGTTGGGAATCCTGAGAAGAAACAGGTGGTGGGACCCAAACAGCTGGGTTTGAGTTTTTGCTCCTTGTATCCCCCCACACCGCCCCATGTTTGCTGGCATTTGGAGCCTGGAAGGACCCAGAGGCTGGAGGGTGGGAACAGTCACCAGGGCACAGAAGAGGAGCAGTGTAGGTGGCCCTCCCATCACCCCACTCCCTGCTGCTCCGTCTCCCTAGAGACCATGTTAATGGTGCCAGACTTGAGCCATGCAGAGTCCCCTGATCACCGTAGGCCTGGGAAGTCTGTGAGGCCTGGCCCTGCCCTGGACCACTGAAAGCCCAGAGTAGAGTCACAGGGGGGCCTTTGGGGCTTTGGGCAGGAGTGGGCAGTCACTTCAGGGGCTCAGGTTTCTGAACACACCCAAAGCACTCTTACTTAGGGTCTGAAATGTACCATCTCCTGTGGCCAAGTCTTCTCCCAGCATGCTCTGGGGCCCGCCAAAGCCAGCAGGTATGCCCCTCGACTGTCGGGTCAGGACCCTGGGGCTGACCATCCGATGTGTGATACCTTGGAGGATAAAGAGAAGAGGTCAGCTGGGTATTGTCCTTGTCCCTTCCCCAAGGCTGGTGGGAATCACTGTGGCTTCGGGCTTTCAGTTCCCCCAAGATAACATCGTGAGCTTTGGAATCACAAAGACCCATGTTTCAACCTGGCCCCATCTCTTTCAGCTGGATTTGTACCTCTCTGAGCTGTAGTTTCCCTATCTGAAGTGTGGGGATAAGAATCCCTATCCTGTCACTGCTGAGGTGTGCAAAAAGCCGCAATGTTTTCTAGTTAGTTAAAAGCCTAGTTTTCTTGGAAACACCTCTCCCCTCTGTGATTGTTGTCATGGAGACCTGTGTCCTGGTTCCCCCTCCCACAAGACAGGATCCTGAAGTCCAGCGCATTGCTGATAGGGGTGGATGAAAGAGAGAGGACGCTGAGCCCAGTGTGTTTAGGGAATCTCGCCCTAGTCTGCAAACTGGCCCTTAAAAAGTGGCATTGTATAGCAGTGGAGCACACCGCAGCGACTGAAATTAGGATATAGATTCACTTCAAGGATAGACTTTTATATATCTGCATTTCATAAACTATAGCACGTCATGTTATGATCTGATCCATGCAACATTATCTGTCTTGATTTCTCAACACATAGACATTCATCAAGAGGAATCTAGAAGGATGGTCACATCAAGAAGGTAACCAGCAGATGACGGAATTTTGGAATTCTCTATAAGGAGCACATACATTCATTGCCCTTATTGGAAAAAATAATTTTCATTTGGTGGGGAAAAAGGTGGGATTGGACACCCGATATCCCTTCCCTCATGGTGGTCAAACCATTTTCAGGGGGCCTTTGCTGCTTCCAGGTCCCACTTTGGACCCCTCGTTGTATCTTAGCCCCTTCTCCAGTCCCTTCTCCAGTCCTTCACGGTCCTCAGGGTCCCCCCTGGGCCTTACCTGCGCTGGGGTACTCCACCACCGTGTGCAGGTACCGGCGCTTGCTCACGTCCACGGGCACGAAGGCTGTGTACTTGCTGATGACACTGCAGGCCTTGCTGGTGTGCACGGCACTCACCTGGTAGCGGCGACTGGACCCTGCAGGGCGAGGGACAGGGGTCACTGTTTGGGCTCCAAAGTCCTGCCTGACAGGAAAGTTCTGGAAGCTGAAAGCAGGATGTGGCCAATTATCCCCATCTTTGGGATTAACTAAGCCTTAAAATCCAGGAGTTTTATTACTTGCTCATTAAAGACATTAAGAGAAAACCCCTTATCATTTTATGTCATTATTTCACAAAAGAATGGGTACTTTAATAAAAAAGTGAGTCATTACTTAGAATGGAAGATAGTTAATTCTCTTAAATAACTTTAGTTATTTTTAAACTCTACATTGTCTGTATTTTATATTTTAATTTTGCAAAAGTCTGTTGGGAAGCCTGCCTCAGGACTTCACAGGTCCCCTGAAGGGTGGGTGGAAACCACCGATCAGACCCATTAAACAGCCAAGAAGATTGGAAATCAGACAGAGTGGGTCACACAGTAGGTACAGGGCCCGGGCCTGTGACCCCAGGAACCTCTTTCAGCTGCAGGGAGCAGTCTCCTAGCTGCTCCCTGCAAAAGGCGGGTCAGGGGCCTGAGAGGATGAAGCCTGACAAATGCTGTATAAATTGCAAGGTGAAATACTCAGGGGAAGAAAAAAATAATAATAGCATCATTATCGAAAAGTACACCATAAAATACACAGCGCATACAAGGCACATAAAGCATACACCTCAAACAAAGAAATTACAGAATACTGCTTCTGTTTACACCACTGCCTCTTCTCTGTGGGCTCTATCAAGATCCCCCAGCGGCTTTCTGAGGGAAGTCCACCCGTATCTGGTCTAAATTAGCTCCCTGCCACTCCTGTTAAACAATGGGTTGGGAGCCCTGTACTTTTACTTAATAGCACTCAGGACAAATGCACTCAATTAATTATTTGCGTAATTGTTTAATTGCTGTCAGCTTCTCTGCTAGTCTGTGCCAAGCACTCCGGAGTGAGGAAGGAGGGGGCTGCTGGACTGGGACCTGTTCGGCTGTCTCTGCAGGCCCAGCCCCCAGCCTGGCCCCAGCCCACTGGTGGCTCTGTGCGGGAGCGCGTGGACCGTGGAGCCCAGGGATAGTCCGCAGTGAAGAAGAGGGAAGAAGACACAGATGGCTACTCCAGTGGCCACTGCAGTTCGGAGTCCTACTGGGGACGCTGCAGGGGAGAAGTTTTAGGACAAGGGGAGAGGGGAAGGAGGCTGGAGAGAAGGATCGCCTGGCGGGATAGGGGTGGGGCTGGAGATGCCCAGGGGTGCTGGAAGAGAGGCACCTGGAGGTCAACGGACGGGGCAAATCGAGGAGAGGGTACAGAGCTCTGGGAAAAGGGGCTGAGAGAGGAGGCAGCGTGGGAGGGGAAGGGCGATGGAGCCCTAGAGAGTGGCGCCCCAGGCAGAGCGGGTTGCTAGGGCCAGGGAAGGAGAGCCGAGAGCGGGGCGGGGCGTGAGATCTAGTGGGTGGAGCCTGAGGACGAGTGGGGCGGGGCGTGAGATCTAGTGGGAGGAGCCTGAGGGCAAATGGGTGGGGCGAGGCCCTGAGAGCTAGTGGGCAGAGCCTGAGGGCGAGTGGGGGTGGAGCCTGAGATCTAGTGGGCGGGGCCTGAGGGCGAGTGGGCGGGCGTGGGCGGGCGTGGGCGGGGCTTGGAGGATCGGTTTTGTGGGGCGGCCTGAGGAGCTCACCTTGCTCGATTTCATCCTCTCGCTCGGCCAGTTGCTCGAAGTCGCGGATGACGGCGCGGGCCGCCAGGTGGTGGAAGGTCTCATTCCACAGGTCAGCGTCCGGCGTGCTGCCCGGCTCCGGGCCGGGTGGCCCCAGCTCAAAGCTCACCTCCCACTGCACGCGTTGGCCCTCTCGCAGGCCTTTGACTAGGGCTTTGCCCAGCACCGGGCCTGGGGTGGTGCTGGGCCTGCTGGGACTGGCCCGCTCCTCGGACTCAGCCATGGGCTCCCAGTCCGAAGATGTCTCAGTCTCGAAGGTGAAGGGGTGATAGGATGGTTCTGCCAGTGGAGGACCAAAAGGGTCGAAACCTGAGCCCTGAGTGGGGAGAAGGACCCCTCCCCGCAGACCATCATCTCTCCCCATCCCCCTCCCCAGGGAGCAAGCATAGCTTTCTCCAGACAGCTAAGGTAACCCGGGCTTATCCCCAGGAGTGGACCAGGAAACTCATGGGGGCGGGGTTATAGGATGGGCTGGCCAGAGAATGGAGCTGCCACCTCATGGGCAGTCCAAGGGCCAGGTTCAGTGAGGACAATGGGTTGGTGAGGTCCCTGGGGCAGGGTGAGCTAAAGCAGACCCTCATGGTGAGACCAGGCATTGGCCCTCTGGGTCTGTCACCTGTCTCTGGACCACGCACCTTTGGACACTTACCCTGATCCCCGGGGCTGCGGCTGTCCAGGGCAGATTTCAGGCTGCATCCGGGATCCAGCTCCCTCATGGGGCTCCAGGCCAAGGTCTCCTGGCCAGAGGGCAGGAAGGGCTGGCAGCCTTGAGGCAGCAGAGAGGGTCTTCGGGCTCCTGGGCCGTGCAGTTTGGGGCGCTGGCTCAGGTCTTGGCCACTGTTCAGCGAGGGCTAAGGGTGCAAAAAAGAGGAGGAGGAGGAGGCAGTGCCAGTGGTGTCTTCTACCCCCAGATGCAGCTCTTTCTTGGGCACCTCAGGCCCTGGTGGGACACTGCCCCCCTGGGACCCAGGAACTTATGACCCAGTCTCTTTGAGCCATGAGGAAACATCAGAACAATCTCGAGAGACCGTGGAAAATCACACACCATGGATAATTCTAAAAACTTTTTTTTTGGGCATAAAATTGAAAACTTTTTGTGTGTGGTTAAAATTATCAACCTTTTCCTTATGTCTTTCCATATGTTTGCTTAAAAGGTCTTTCCCACTCAAAAATATTCTAGAATTTTTGTGATTTTATTTTTGTTTGTACATTTAAGTCTTCGATTCCCATGAAATTTATTTTACCATAAGGAGATAGGAACAAGCTTTCCCTTGATTTTCCCAGTGGTACAAACCTCATTGTTATTAAGCACAATTCATCCAATGAATCAGTGTGGCTCACTAGCCCCCCACTTGTAGTCCACCGAAGCTATTATGCACTTTTGGCTTTACTTAAAGACTTTCTGTGCTGTTTTGTTGATTTAATCTGTCTATTCCTGCACTGGTATAAAAAGCAAGGGGTAAACTGGGAGTTTTTTTTTTTTTTTAAAGGAAAATGCTCTTATACACATTGGAGAAAAAGATTAACTTGAGAAAAAAGGAATTAAGGGCATTCACAAGCAGTTTATAGCAAAATTATTCACTAAACCCATTGAAAGGGGCAGGTTCATGAAAAATCAGAGCAAGGAAAATTAAAACTAGTTACAATTTTTTTCTGCCATGCAGATTACCAGATATTTAAACATCTGATGACACCCAGTGTAGGCAGGCTTGCTCATGGGCAGTAGGCTGGAGTATAAACTGCCATATACTTGTAGGAAAACAGTTTAGCAACTTACTATCTGTGACAATAGAAATACAGAATCTTTTGGCCCAGTGAGTCCACTGGCAGGAATACAGTGCTGTCAACATTTAAAAGGGTGCAAGTATCTGTGTGTAAGCACTGAATATTTGTTGAGGTGTTGGTTTGGAAAGGTAACAGTCTAGAAACTGTTTACATATCCATCAATAGTAAGGGTGAATAAATTATGGTACCTCTGTGTGATAGAACATCACACAACACTGAATCAGGACAGATTTCATCATCAAATTATGAAAAAATGTCTAGTATACATCTTGGTTTAAAAAATTAAATTGTAATAGTTCTGTTCTTAATTGTGGAGATCATATGACTATGTATCCATTTGTCAAACCTCAGAGAATTCTTCACCACAAGAGCAATGTTTGTATATATAAAGTAAATGAAGGGACATTAAAAGTAAGCTGCAGAGCAGTTTGTTTATATAATTATTAAAATATATATGTATACTGTGCACTTATGTGCAATTTTTGTAGAAAGAAACACTCAAAATCAAATGGGTGTTGGTATAGGGGAGGGAGACTTCTCTTTGTACGTTTTTGTCTAACTGAATTGTTGGAAGGTTTTTATTGCAAACACCGAGTATGTATTATTACTTTTGTAACTGAAGAATTTTAAGTTAATTGAAATGAGTTTTAAGCTTCTGAGATGACGTACAACTCTTGTTAGGGGGAGAGGAAGCAAAGGCACTTACTAGGTGTAATGGAAATTTTCAGGTCAACAGTTGACTGTAAGGACTTCTGCATCCCTGTCCAGTCGTTATTGGGAAGGAGAGTGTGCCGTCCCATTAAACAAGAGCTGTCTTCCTGTCTCTGGGCCTGGGGTCTTAGGATTGGACAAGTGTGTGTGATAAAAAGGAGACCGGCCACGCTTAGGATGGCCTCTGTGGAAGCTGGTTCTTAGCTACGGCTGGTGAGTCCCAGCGGGTCCTGAACCCCCACTCCTCTCTATACCAGAGACTGGGATTGCCTTCACCTCTGTCCTCCACTCCTGATCAGCTACATTGGGTCAGAGAGAGGAAAAACTGCAAGCTGCTGCAGTTTCCGTGGCAACAGATGAATCTAAAATCCAGCCAGCCAGGGGCTGCAGGAAGTGGTGTGTGTGTGTGTGTGTGTGTGTGTGTGTGTGTGTGTGTGTGTTTAGGCAAGTTCCTTACAGAGAAGCAGATTGGGAAAGAAGCCAGGCACCCAGGAAGGGCAGGTACAGGGAAAGATTTGAGTAGAGATGGCCAGAACAGCTAACAAACAGCAGGGCGAAGGGACGGAAGCCACCCTGCCATGCTTTCACCACTGATGTGTGCCAGGTGCTGAGCCAGTGCCTGGGAGAGTCCTCCACTTACAAGCTGGCTCTCACCAGCCTAGACAGGGATGGTTGGTGGCCCAATCAATCCCATGACCTATTCTCCCCCATTTAATAGGTGGAACGTCTGAGGCCAGAGAGATGGAGTACCACGTGGGAGAAGAGTCTGCCTGACTCCAAGGCCAATGTCTTCTGATTTTATCAGGCAGTCCCTGGCTGAGCACAGAAAAGAGCCTCAGGGATAAGGTGGCAGCTTGACCTGTGTATGGGAGGCAGGGATGGGGTGGGGTGGGGTGGGTAGGAGTGGGGAGGGCCATCAGGGAGGGAGAAGGGCTGCCTTTACAGACTCGTGACAAGTCCACACAAACCTCATTCTCTGCAGATGTGCTGGCCACAAGTCGGTTCTGGATAACTCTGCTCCTGCCCAGGACATTTGGCAGTGTCTGAAGCATTTTTGGTTGTCATGACTGGGGCTATTGTTCTTACTGGCCTCCAGTAGGCAGACCCCCTTTCCCCAGCCAAGAATTATCCTCGCAATAGTGCTTGAGGCTGGGAAGCCATGGTCTGGGAACACTGGTGACTCTTTCTGCTGTGGCTCTGACCTTCTGCTTCTCTCCGCTGAGACTGACCGGAGAAGCAGGGCGATGGACATGAAAGCAAGGCAGATGGTCCTGGCTTGAATTCCCTGCCTGTGTGACTCTGGTCAGCGGCTTTCTCTCTCTCTCTAGCTGTCAGTTTCCACATGTGTGCCGAGTGGGGGTGTCTGGCCCCCAAACTCCTTCTTTCCCAGGGCCACTATAAAATCTAATGGCACAGTAGAGGCAGATGCTGAGTTCCATCTGGTGAGTGCTGTGTGCAGGGAACGGGGGTTCTCATTAGCTAGTGAGTGTCTCAATTAGGAAGGTGTCACTGGGGTTGGGTAGATGAAGGTCAGAGGAGGAGGGAGGGCGTGGCTGACTCCTTTCCCTAAACTAGTGGCTGCCTGTTCTCAGTAGGTAATTAATTCATAAAAGCACTTTGAACAGAAACTGATACCATAAAGGGACTTTAGGGCCAGGAAGCTCTGGATTCTGTATTCTACCAAGTATCAACTTGCCCATGCAAGCGATGGGCAGACTTAGCCTTATGATTCAAGAACGGTACACAGCTCTCCCCCAGCCAGGGGCGTCCCCAGCTCCTCTCCAGCCTGCCTACCTTGGGTATCTGCAAATCAGTCGGCCACCGCTGGCCATCCAGGCTGGTCTGATTGGTGAGGTCCTGCAGCTTGGCTTTCCGCAGTGGGTGTCTCCTGGAAGATGCTGTGGGCTCACTGGCAGTGGTGGCCCTTGGGCACGGCTTGTGGGTGGTGATCTGGTTGGTGCTATATGCCCTCCGTCGCCGGGAGAGGTCCAGACCTGGGCAAGGGAGGTGAGTGGGAAGCCATCAGGGAAGAAGAGGGGCTTGCACACCCTCTTCCTGCTGGGAACATCCTGAGTTCCAATCTGGGTGCCACCTGGAATGTGTGTAGGTCCCTGTACCAGCTTCAGAACCTTGGAAGAACTTCAGAACCTGTGTCCCCTTCTAAAGCATCGTGTGTTGCAGGTGAGCTGGATGAGTGCAGCTGTGTGTGCTTTCTGAGCATCACACCTCCACACCCTTGCCCAGGCCCTTTCTGATACCTGCAGGCTCCTCTCTCCTCCTATCAGCCTCTGGGTAAAGTGCTTCTCTTCCTAGGATCCTCAGAGATGTGGCCCCTGCTACTCTGCTTCTGTTAGGGATCAGTTGTATCTCACCAGATGGAGATGCTTGAAGGAAAGGGGTCAGGTGTGAGTCATCTTTGTGCCTCACACTGTGCTCAGTACCTAGCCTTAGTGAGTAATCGGTAAATGGCCTTTGAGTGGAAATGAACACAGAGAAGAAGCACTGGAGTAAAACAGGCCTAGACTGTCTCTATGTACCCTCTCAGCCTCTTTCAAGCTCCAGTAATTTAACTGTGTTGCTTAAATTCTCCAAGTCTCAGTTTTCTCATCTGTAAAACAGGTATAATGGCACTCATCTCTACAGTTGTTACCTCTCCATAGCAACGGTTGTTCTGAAGTTCTTAGTAAACCATAAGAATTCAGTGTAAGGTAGCAACCAATATGGCCTCTCTGTAGAGAAGAGAAGGACACAAAGCACAGAGGACCAACCGTGGTTAGTGCTGGAGTCTCCATCGCACGGCCAGGCATCCTTGGCCTGCCCCAGGCTGAAGGGTGCCCCCGTGCTCTTGGCACGGTCTCCACTGTCTGGCCCAACTCCCTCATCTTGGGAGAAGACGGAGCTGCCAGACTCCTGAGAGTGCAGCAAGCTGTACCTTCGCCTCTTGTCCTGCAGGGAGGAGCAGAGAGGGCAGGGAGTGAGGGTAGGAAAGACTCCTGCAGGGTAGCGAGGGGCCTGAGGAACCAGCTGAACGGGAAAGATGTTCTTTGCTTAGGGAATTGAGCTAGGCTTCTCTCCAAGAGATGGTAGAAATTATTTTCCATGTCAGTTATGTAGTTTGTATTTTAAATTATTGACTTCGCTTATTAACATTTTAAAAAGTATAACTCTAAATGTCATTGCTGTTTCCAGATCAGGAACTAAAATGAGCAAAATGGATCACTGGTTCCTTCATTCCATTCCTCATGACATAAACGTACATAGAAATAGGTATGTAAATAATGTATTAATATATGTAAGTTATATGCATACATGATTTTAGAGATCATTTTTATCTTATAAAACCTGGATCATTCTATTTATATTGATCAGTATCTTGAACTTGGCCTTGAAAAACATTTTGGAAAGCTTACATCTCTTCATATTTAACTCCGTAATGCCCCAGCATCCCTTATTGTGGTCTGCTTTGTGGCCACTTACTTTTGTGACCATAACATCTTTGGTCACAAATATATTACATCACTTTTATTTCTCTGATTAGATTCCTAGGAGGGGCATCTTTGGATCGAAAGACATATATTTCCAATTTTGTTCTTTCTAGGTTGCTTTGCAGGAGGGTTGGGAAAAGTTATATCGATGCTAATATAATATGCGAAGGTGCTGTTTGTCCAACATCTCCCCAAGAAGCAGAGGAAAATTACTAGAATCTCCAGAGTACCAAAAGGAGAATGGAGTTGGGGCCTTTGTCAGGTTCCTTCTAGTGGGAGGTTTTGTGGAAGATTTGGCATCAATAACCTAACCCTGATCACGGCTCTTAAGAAATTCCATAGTGTAAAAATATTAGAGATTTATAGAAAATTCAAATTTCTCAGCTGGGCGTGGTGGCTCATGCCTGTAATCCCAACACTCGGGAGGCTGAGGCAGGAGGATTGCTGCGAGTTCGAGACCAGCCTGGGCTACAAAATGAGCTCAAGGCCAGCCTGAACTGCATAGTGAGACCCTGTCTCAAAAAAGACCAAGAAAAAAAAAATAGAATTTCTCTGGGAAGTGCATTTAACACAGGCACACAGTGCCGCATGGTAACAGTTGTTACAGTGCGTTGGGGTCTGCCTGGCTGGGGGTTCACTGTACAGTTTGTCACATCGCCTGCCACTCCTTAAGGCTCCGACTGTGAACCCAGTAATGACTGACACCCATCATGCATCTTCTCCTTTTATTTTTTATTTTTATACCAAATCCTCTTCTTAGCCCTGGTCACTCTAGCTATTGAGTTTGTAACTCCTTAAAAACAAAATAAGATGAGAAATCCTGTAAGAAGGAATGGACAGACTCACTGAAAAGTGAAGATAGGTGACAGAAAGTTCTTCAGGCAGGCAATCTGTTATTTATTTATTTGCTTGCTTGTTTATTTATCTATTGAGACAAGGTCTTGCTGTGTAGTACCGGTTGACCTCGCATTTGCTTATGTAACCCAGGCTGGCTTCACTTCACAGAGATCTTCCTGCCTCAGCCTCCAGAGTGCTGGGATTACAAGCATACATCACCATGCCCAGCCTTCTCACATGTTAGTGTCAATATTACCTCCCTTTGAGAAATTTTTTACCTTTATCCCATTTGTGACATCAAATACATGGGATTTATTCTTACGAAAGAATAAAAAACAAATTCATCTAAAGAGACACAAGCTTACCACAGCATACTTTTTTTAAAAAAGAAAGCTGCATTCAGTTGTCCATGAACTGAGGTGTGAATCTTATCTCTTAGGGGAGATTGCATGAAATGTAGATTCCTGGGCCTTATCCTCAGGGACTCTTACTCAGTGAACATTCTGCAGTCTAGACACGTTCCCTAAGCAATTCTTCTGCAGGGGCTCTTTAGGACCACACCCTGAGATGGTGGCATTCACCTAAGTGGTGTCACTGTCAGACACGAGTTGCCTGCCAGCTCTATCTATACTATAAATCCAGTTCAACCAGCTCCTAGCTGCCATGAATAGGATTCCAGCTAAGGATGGTGTGTGGTCATGGGTTCTGGTCCCTGCTGGCCCCTGGAATTCCTAGCATACTTACAGATCTGGGATTGGAGACGTACAAGGAGGCATCACATACAATGCCATACCCCACCAACCGTTCTCCCGGGAAGAGAGTGCTGGTGCTGGCAGGCGACGTCAGGACCTCAGTGGTCTCGGGGAAGACCCACTCCACAGTCACGTCACTCAGGACTGGGGCCATGGCCCTCTTCAAGGATTTGACCATCTGTTGGGCAGGGTCAGAACACAGGTTGGTGGGATGTGTAAGCAGAGCTACGGATGAGCACCGTAAATGTTGGGTGGGTCTCAGCTTGAAGAGGTACGAGCAGAGAGAAAGTCAACAGGTCCTGGCTTGCTTGCCCAGCCGTGGGGGGCTCAAAGAATGGCTGACTTATTTGAGGATATAAACTTTAGGTCAGAGCACAGACTGGATAGTGATCTTAAGCAAGTCAACTTGCTTCTCTGGCCCTCAGTTTCCCCTTCTGCTAAAATGGGAAGGTAGAGTTGGAGGATCATAGGAGACATTGCACAAGAAGTATCTGCACATGATAGGTGCTCAGTAAATAGTGACTGTGGGTTAGCATCCCCTGTGCTGTGTTCTCGGACATACTGCAGGCTTGGAGGGAAGGATTAAGGGTTGTGGTCCATAAAGGGTGTGATGGATATACCTTAGTCAGATCTCCCTCTCAGGAGGACCGTGTCTTGGTGCTGCAGGATTGCAGTGCTCCAGTTGTAAGCACTGCGTCTCCCTCGGGAAGCCCTCAGAGTGACTGAGCATGATAGTGGTTCTAGCCCGTGGCCATGCCAGCCTAGAGTAGACGTGCAAGTGGAAAATCTTTGCTCCAGAGTTTCTCCGTGGGTTTGTCAGAGCCATGGCAGAAAATTACAGTCAGAATCTCCCTGCCCCATCCGCCTCCTCCTCTCTTTCACAAGTGTTGGATCTGCCTTCCAGCTGGAACACTGTCCCTGCTTCGTCCTTTTCTATCTTATTGGGAAGTGCTGCCTCCCAATAAACCTCTTTCTCTAGCCTGAGTTCTGACTGTCCTCCTGGAGGGCCTGGATTTTCTAAGGGTTGGGTTGCTTGTGTGAAATGTGCTGGAGGAGAGAGAGAAGATTCTTTTATATTCGGGCCTTTTAGAATCTCCAGAGCCATTATGTGTCATGACAGGGAAGGTGGCCAGTGATGACCCCATACACAGCTCCACGGCTATAAAGGTGGGCATTCTTTTAGGAGCCTCAGCTGTGCTGGACCACTGTGCTGGACCAGGGTCCTGTGGTTGCTCTAAGAGTTGCTTGTTCTGTAGCTGCCACCTCTCTGGTTCTCATGGGAAGTCAGGGCAGCCTAGTGGAGAGGTCAGATTTGGGCTGAGGTAGCAATTCTGCCGTGGAGTTTCTGCCTGATTTGTCTGGGCCTCTGAGGTTCCAGCACTGGGAGGCCTTTCTTCCTACCTTGGGTTGCAGCCGCTCCCCCTCCGCAAGGAATTCAGCACTGCCCTTGGACACGGATGCCAGCCCTTTTACCAGTCGATGGCAGACGCTCGGTCCAATCCCAAAGCTGTAGCACCTGGGGGATGGGGATACAGATGGTGCTACTTGCCAGCCCCTCTGCATCTTTGCCCACTTGGGAGGGGAAAGAGACAAAGTCTGGTCCAGCAGAGCCAGCTCAGAGCTGGACCTGCTTTAGGCAGAGGGAGAGGGAGAAGGAAGAAGGGCCACCTGTGGACAATCACATGCACACACAGAGCCCCTGTACCCCCAGCCAGCGCAGAGTCAGGGCTGCCTCTTCCTAAGCTGCTCTTTGGGACTCACAGGCAGAGGTGTGGACAATTCCCTTCTCCTGAACTTTTGAGAGTGAAAGGCAAATTTGGAAACCAGCTCGCAACATCCTGGAAGCACGGCACTCTGGGGACTATGGGTCTTGTGCTTTCCTGTGTCATTGTGCCCACTTTGCTCTGCCCCCAACCCTGGGGCAGCCTGGAAAAACGGGTCCCCAGACCTCCAGCCTGGGCTGACCTGGTGGAGAAAGCGTGGTTCCGAACCAGCTCCAGCACCTTCCCGGTGTTGCTGATGGCACCACCCGTGATCAGGAAGAGCAGCCGTGGGTGGCCCTGATGCACCGGCTGCCGGACGATCCACTTGAGAGGGGAGAAGATGTTGGTGCCCCCCATGTCAGCCCGCATACTCTGGATGTTGTCACAGGCCATGGCCAAGCTCTCCTGCAGGGGAGGATTGTGGGAGAGGCACATAGTCCCCAGGGTCACCCTGTGACGCAGAGACTCTTAAACCACTCTGGGGAGCAGCTTCTTATTTCCCTAGTCCTCAGTTCAGCCTCTTGCCTGCTCCATCTGTGGGAAGAACAGGTGGCTGCTTTTTTGGTGTCCTCTGCTCCCTGGAATGCCACTGTCTGTGATATAGTGACTTAACATTGTCCTTTCTGGGTTCCTCTTCAAAATATAAGCACCTCTGGAAAATGTAGCAAGTTAAGCCTCTAATTCCTTAGCACAAACGATGCCCCCTTTTCTGATAAGAGAGGCAGGGGCTGTGGAGGAAAGAACACAGGACTGGGAAGCACAAAACTTGAGTCCTGATGCTGACTCTGACGCTGACTTCCTGGGACACGTTGCAGAAATTGTTTTCCCAATTTGGCCTTCAGATTTTCTTTCCTGGACCAATGCTTTGGGATGTAAGGATTACTGGCACTGGGTGAATGTCACTGTAGCAAGAGTTATTTCTTCTGGATGTGTGTCGTCCTGCCCTTGGCTCAGGAAAATGCTGTCCTGACATCCACGCGTAGAAGGGACTGGTAAGTAATGGCCTGTATCAGAAGTCTGATGATGTATATGTAGCTTCTGAACCAGCAAGGCTAGAAATGCATCCCAAGAGAGCAATTAAGGGCGCCCGAGGAACCCACAATACAGATGGCGAGATGGGCGGCAGTGGAAACAACTTAAATGTCAAACTCTAGGGCTTCATGAAATAAGCCCCAGTCTGGCTGTGTAGTGAAATATTAGGCAGCCATTACAACTGTACCACACATTAATACTATCTGGAATTAAGGCTTGCTCCTGATAGCTTGGAAAGTAGGTCATGGATCAGTATGGAATGCCTAGTCCTACCATGATTGAAAATGCGTGTAAATGCATAGCACCAGATCTTCTGGGATTTATACTATGCCCTTCGCGGTATTTTTTCTTCTTTATTTCTCCCTGGCTGATGTAATCATAGGAGGTTTAAATGTTTTATCTTTTTTATTATCTAGATCTAAAATTACGAGACAATCAGCATGTATTATCCATTTGTGTATTGGAAAAACTCACAACATTATCTGTCGTAGAAAAGTAGCTAATATGTCCCTCCCTTCCTCCATCCTTTCTTCCCTTTCTTCCTTCCACCTTTCTTTCTTTCTTCTTAGGTCTAAGTAGGATGCTCTGATTTCAAATGTGCTCCTAGGACCACGGTCTTCCTGTTTCAGTGGGCAGCTTGAGCCTTGTGGATTCCATCCATGGCTGCTCCCATAGCCACTCAGCCACCCGTCCACACCCTCCCCATTCACGTCTCTAGCTCCACCTCGCATGAGCCCCTCATCCTCCTGGGACTGAGGCTTCAGAGTGACAGGCCATGGGCTTGTCTCTTCCCTGCTGTCTCCCCAGGCCTCATCCCTGGGCACTCACGTTGCCTAGTGTATTATCTCATTTAAAAGGGAAAACATCAGAAGGCTAGGATGCCAGGCATTGCCTAAGCAGAGATGGGCTCTTTCTAGTTTCTGCCTCTGGATGTGACCTGGATTCTCTCTGGGTCAGGAACTTCTGAGTTGCCTCTTCTTTTCTCTCCCTGCCTCTGCTCCCTGTCACCCACCATCCTCCTGTCCCAGATGTGCCCCATCCTTACCTCACTGTAGGTCTGGCTGGAAGGGAAGACCGTCTTAAACATGGATCCGAATCCAATGACATTGAAGAGGCAGTTTGGCATGAGGCTCTTCAGGGCCACCAGCATGGCATCCTGGTGGGTGAGAAAGGGGTTTTCAGTTTCCAGCAGAGGCTCCTGCCATCGCACACCAGTGCTGTCATCCTGGCTTAGGAGCCGCCTTCAGGAGGGCCTGTCACCTGCTTCTGCACCTCTGTCTCTTTCCCGTCATGAAACTGGCTGACTCTGACCAGAGGCTGGGTCAGAGTCATTATCATGAAATCTCTCAGTCATGGAGCCCGTCTGACTTCTCAAAGCCGCTCTGTGACGGCTGACCAGTTCCATTTCACCCCTTGCTGACCCTGGGAGGAGGGAGCGCCCCTCTCTTCTGCCAAAGCCAAAATGACATCTGGGGGAGGAAAGTGGCTGATGCAGGACGCACTCTAGATGGAGTGGCTTCTGGTTCCCATGCGGGGCCTCCGAATCAGAGTTAAGCCGTCATTAACCAGTGATAAAACCCTAGGAACAGTCTCTTTAGTTCATGTTCATTGAGTGTGAAAGATATATTTTATATGCAGTTCCCTGCTAATCTTCACAATAGCTGGCACATTTGAGGCAGGCACATTTATTACCCCCATTATACAGAAGACAAGACTGACACACAAGAACTAAAGTGACTTGTTAGTGAGCATCCAGGTGGTAAATAGTGGACCCAGGATTGAAGCCTGGGTCACTTTGCCTCCAATATCTATGAACATTAGTGAGTCTTAACGTGTGTAACTCGGTACCAGCAGAAGACCTTAATAAAGTAGATTTAATTAAAAAATAATGCTGGCATGATGGCTCACGCCTGGAATCCCAGCACTCGGGAGGGTGAGGTGGGAGGATCATTGCGAGTTCGAGACCAGCCTGGCCTACAAAGTGAGCTCAACGCCAGCCTGAACTGCACAGTGAGACCCTGTCTCAAAGAGAGAGAGAGAGAGAGAGAGAGAGAGAGAGAGAGAGAGAGAGAGAGAGAGAGAAAGAGAGAGAAGGTGGTGGGCTGATAGCAGAAGCAAAAGTGATAATAATTATGACACAACCCAACGATAACTATCAAGCACTTAATAGGTGCCAGTCACTGTGCACTTAAACAAATCACATCTGATCTCTGATTGCATTTTAGCATAATAGTTAAACTAATACAATTTAAAGTTAAAACCTATGTGAGTGTAAACACCATTACTAACTTGATTTGGGCTAGTCATGTCACCTCTTTGAGCCCCAGCCTGAAACAAAGTATGTATTCAATAAGGAGAGGTTGTTTTAATAAGCCTATTTTATAGATGAAGAAACTGAGGCTTGGGAGGGTTAAAGAATTGCACTGAATCATAAAACTGAAGAAAATGACCTTGGCTTTCAAATATAGCTCTGAAGTCTTTATTCATGTCAGCTCTGTCTTGGCACAGAGCTGGGAAATAAATGCCTTCCCTTCACCCCCATATAGTTTATTGATGACACCCCAGCATGGGCTTCGGGGAAACAAACTGCCATCCTCCAAAATCTAGAAGCAAACAGCTGCTGGTGGATTCTGGCAACTTTCACATCACACAACCTTCCAGGCTCCCGAGCCCCACAGCCCCTGTCCCATCCCCCTCTGCAGACATTAACATTAAACACTCCAGCGAGCGCCCTCTGTCTCTCCTCATGGCTTGTGTCAATATATTTTGTGTCACTGCAAAAGAAGTCAATGTCTGCTTTTTTCATTAGCCACTAATGTATATTCCTGCTAGCAGGAGACTCTGCTGATCCATACAGATTGTCTCTGCTCAACACCTATTAGAATTTTTAAAGCCATGTTTTTGGCAGCAAATGACAGCTAAAGAATGAGACCAGCTGCAGGAAATTAAATTGGCTGAACTTTCCTCTTTGGCATGGGCTGTTTGGATTTATATTCTCTCCCTCCTCCCTAAGCCTAGTTTCTCCTAAAACTTCAACACAATGGGACTGCAGTGAAAGGCCCCAGCAACCCCCCAGTAGCCTTATTTTTTGTGGGGAAAGAGGTGCGTGGCCTAAGCAGTTCTGTGCTCTTCTCCGAAAGGGTCATGTTCAGCAGAATGGGTTGTACCCACGCAGAGCTCTTCGTGAAAGCTGACCTTGACTTCATGAACTGAACTGGAGAGAAGCAAGAGAGACTCCAAGGGCAAGGGGGACTGAAAGGTGAGCTAGAAAAAGTTGTTGTCAGAGAATTCTGGAGTGCAAAGGTTGGAAAGGGTTTTAGGTAAAGGAATGGATTTCCACACATAAGCCAATTCTGTTTAACTGATAGTAACTACCTGCAATGCTGGAATGAGAAAATTAGAGAGAAACTGAGTCCAAGTTTAGTAGGAAAAAAAAAAGTCATGATAAATTATTGATGTCTGCCCGGGGTTGGGAGAGGGAATCAGAGGGACAGGCAATGTGTATTTGTCCTCCCTGAATTAATCTTTCCTTTTCATTTTACCAAAAGGACAAATGAAGGCCAGCATTGGGAATCAATTTGTCCAAAACCCACATAGCAGTCCGGTGGTAGAATCAATCCTAGACCCCATTGCATTGCTTTTCGACCAGGCCATGCAGTAGAAATGACACAGTCAGAGAAGAGAGCCTTCACAAGTGGCATGTAATTTCCCTTTGAGCAATGGAAGAAAATGAGGACTGGGACTAAGATATAAAAGGCTTGGGCCCACCGATGAGTACTGTACTTAATTTCCTTACAATTACCAAGGAGGATATGGATGAAATACCCCTCAGGACTGTCTTAGGTTTGTGATTCAGTGACGTTCTAGCATCTCTCAGGAAATGTCTCACTAATCAATATAGCTGTGTAACAGAAAGGGGAGGGCCATACAGACCTGGGGCGTGATTTAGCGCTCTGGCACCACGGACAGCTCCCCAGCCTTATTCCTGACTTCAGGGGTGGGGACAAGGTTCCAACCAGCCCTGCATTCCAGCATCAAGATGCCTTGAATTGCACCTTGGGTCTCATGTATGATTCCTTGTCATAGTTCAAGACAGAGCCTGGTCATGGCAGAGATCAGGAAGTAGCTGGCCCCACAGATGCCACCTATCCCCTCCTCTATTTGCTGAGCATGTTGCTCTGGAAATGAGAGCCTGCTCCAAGGCCAAACTTAGGGGAATTTTCAGGTGACAAGAGAACCTCACTCTCCTCTGGTCACCTCATCCCTCATTCTCTTGAACTACAATCCTTTACCCAGTCTGATAAACAGACAGAAGGCTTTTTACACATGAACACAGAGCTAGATCCCATGTGGAGCAATAGGTGAAAAATATCTGGTTCTTTCTCTTAATGAATTCATAATTCCAGACAGAAAGAGAGAGATCTACAGAAGTCAAAATACAAGGAAATGTTGGATGATGCCGTAATCAAGATGAATAATCTCCCATGGGGGAGGGAATACCTCTGGATGGGTGGGGAGCATTCTAGTGCTCTTTCTTTCTTTTTCTTTTTTGTCTTTTTGAGACAGGGTCTCGCTGTGCAGTTCAGGCTGGCCTTGAGCTCACTTTGTAGCCCAGGCTGGTCTCGAACTCACAACAATCCTCCTGCCTCAGCCTCCCGAGTGCTGGGATTACAGGCATGAGCCACCATGCCCAGCTCTAGTGTTCTTTCTTCCACACTCATGCTGAGCTCTCCTAGCAGAGAGGTCAAGCTCCAGGCATCCTGCCTATGCCCCTCACTTGATTATGAGTTGCTTGAGGGCAGCAACTGTTTTTGCATCGTAGGTATTTGAGAAAATGAGCCGATCTTTTCTGGATTCTAACCATTCCTTGATGGCAGCATCATGTGCAGTGGATCTCTGATGCCAACTGGTGAGAGCCAGGAGGGCCCATGTTTAATGATTGACCACTAACAGCGTGACACAGGGTAGATACTGTAACTCTCACAATCGGTTTCCCCCTGTGGTCAATGGTGACACTAGGACCAACTGCCTAGGATTATTGTCTGGATTAAACCTCAGACTTTGCCCTGAATGATTTTCACAGTATCTGGTGCACAGCAGACCCTTGGGAAGTGTTTCTTTCCTTCCCTTCTTCTCTATAACTCTTTCTACTCAGCATGAGTGAGGTGCTTTAGCCAGTGCAGGCATGCAACAAAGGTTTATAGAATATCAAGGGCATTTCATTTGTGACTTCAACGGACAACAGTTTTGCCTCCACTCATCCACTTAAGGGTTTTATTTTGGGAGCAAATAGAGTTTGGGTGTCTTTTTTTATACTGATACATTTTTATTTTTTAAAATATACCAATGCATGTTTAAAAAGTTGTGCCATGGCATAGAAGGAAACCAGGTCTGGGGAGCACAGCTGATTTACCCTGGAACCCGGATCCCTGGGGAGGGGATTTTGTGGCAGGTACCTTGACACGGTGGAAGTTTGTCTCACTCATGCTGTTGCTCCTGTCAATGAGGAAGATGAACTCCCCGTGGGTCTTTCTCAAGTTTGGCTGCACAGACTGGAGGTCAGGGCAGAAGTTAAGCATGATGACCGAATGGTGGAAAATGTCTTTGTGGAGGCGTTTCCGGATGATTTCTGTCTGGAGGAGAAAGGGACACTCCCTGAGTTGGGCAATCACGGCGTCCTGGGATATCTCTGGTGACACATACTGGTCACACATTGCTTCCCAAGTATTATCTAGATCTTACTTGTGCTCTGCACTGTGGACCTCTGTACCAGCCCTTCTGGGCCCCTCTGTCTGCTGGGAGTTCATGGGTTATAACACTAAGCCTAGGCTTTGCAGGCAGCAACACTTGGCCTGAATCCCAGCTCTGTCCCTGTCCAACCGTGTGACCCCGAGAAAGTCCCTCTTGTGGATTTTCTTTATTTGTAAAATGTGGCAAATGCATCTACCTTTTTGAATGATCTTGCAGACATCTCAGTTGAATAATGGTCTCTTTTGTTTTCCATTCAGTGCATAAACCACTCTTTGACTCAGCATGATTATCAACTTAGTTTCCCTGATTTGCTCTTCTTTTCCTGCTGATGAAATTTGGCTCATCCTTCAGATTTTACCTTTGTAACGAGCCTTCTCTTATAGGAGTTTTGCGCTTGCTTTTCTCACCTATGGGAAGTGTGCAGACCTCACAGAACAAGAGTCCACACCTCCCCAAATGGACTAAATGGCCCACTGGGGGCCTGCTGCCTGGCAGAGTAATTGTGCTGCTTTGGGTGCTGTCATTTGCCTTTAGGGTACTGTCATTTGTACTTCTCACCCTGAAAGCAGAGTTTTGCACCTCTGCCTCCCCGCCCCTCTGGCTTCCAGGCTTCCTGAGGGCAGGTATCGCCTTAGTCTTTTAGGGTGCCTGGCTGGGGATGGATCCGGGTGCACAGCACCTTCATTCTTTGTGTTTCGTGTGTGGCCTCCTGCAGGCCCTGAGGTCACATGCCGCTGCTCCTCCTGACTCCACTCATCTCACCCACACGAGTCTCATTTCCTCCGTCTCGCTTGGCTTTCTCCCTCTCTGCCTCTTGATCTGACTGTTTCCCTGGAGCTCCTGTCTCTTCATGTCCGTTTCTCAGTTTGTTTTCCACCATTCGGTCACCATGCTCGGCTTCTGCCCTGACCTCCATCCTAGCAGGTGACATTACCCAAAGACCTAGTGACTATTCCTGATCTCTCTCTCCCTTGTCTTCCAGCAGAGGCTCAGCTGTCCTGCAGCTAAAAGACAGCTACATATTGCCTCTGCTTTCTCTCTCCACTGCCAACACCCAAGTTCAGGGGAGGATTTCCCCATGGACCTTTGCAATCGCCTCCCACTGGCCTCTTTGCCCACTTTTACCTCCTCATGGTCCATTTTGCACAGGGTAGCCAGAGTGGTCTTTCTTGGCATTCTCCTGCTTATGCACTGTCCACTGTGGCTGATGGAGCCCTCAGTGGCCTGACCGCTCCCTGCTGGTCTGCTTCACCTCTACCACAACAGCCTCAGTTTGCCCAGCCGCTTGCCATTCCTCTGCTTCTGTCCTTTGCCTGTGTTGTACTCTCTGCCCACTCTGCTCAAGTGGGCTCTTCACCGTCCACCACATCTCATGCTCTGACGAACATCTGTTAAACGCCTGCCTAAAGAACACTCAGTGCCTGCCACGCATTGTTACCTCATCACACTGCGTTTCTCCCATACCTCTCCAAAGTGCTCTTGCTCATTTGTTTAGTTGTGTCTGTCTCCCTCTTCTAGAACACAAGCTCCAGGGAGACAAAGACTGCGTTATTTCAGTGTTTTCTAGAACAATGCATTGGACAATGCACAGTGTTTACTGAATGAATGAAAGAATGAATCTGTGTGGGTCATTTTTTGTCCGCGGTGGACCTGGATGTGCTTAGTTTTGTTTTTTTTCCCCAGTCTTTGTCTCTGAGGGCTCTGTCTCTGTCTCCTGCACATGGTGTGTCCCTCTGCATCTTCTCATTGCTAAATTGGTCTTTGACAGCTTGCTTCCTGAGTGATGTTCTTCCTCTGGTTGCTCCCAACCTGACTTCCTTCCTTCCTGGGGACCTCGCCCTTTCTTCCACATGGAGCCTCTTTGTCAAAAGCCACTGCTCAGCCTGGCTCTTTTGATGTCAGAGCCCAAAACAGCAACAGGTCACATCTGGCAGTGAAAGGAGTCACCTCCAGGAGCCTGATCACTGCCTTGCAGAGTTTGGAGTGGGTGCCTTGGCTCAGGATTCGCTGATGTCTCCTCAGGCTGCCATTATCCAATTACAATAAACTCATCACTTCTTAGCAGCTGCTGCTTGATCGCTGTCATCCTGGAGCTCATGAGAATGCTGGGTATTTGCATAACCAACCCAAGGTGGCAAATTAATTCTCATTTGCTGCAGCAGTCCCAGAGCTAATTGATTTAAGATTTGGCAGGCAGCCCCAGGCCTGGGAGACCTATTGTCCACCCCTCATCGCATTCTGCATTTCCTAGAGCTCTGTGGTGCCTCTGAAATTACCATCCCCACTCTGAGAACCTGGCTCAAGCTTCTCCCAGTTGTTTCATTTGAGTGAGCAGGTGTTTCTAGGGGGTCTCCAACTACAGACATGATATGACAGGCATCAAGTCACCCACACTTTCCCTCTTCCGCCACTCCTGTCCCCTCCTGGCAGCTGCTTCCAGCGGGGCTCTAACTGGGGGCGATGTGAGCAGTGAGCCGTCCACACTTCCCTGTCCACTTCTCTCCTTGCTACTCACTTGTGCTGGTAGGAAATTGGAGGGGCTGTTAAGTCCAGTTATGCTGCACCCCACACGTTTGACACTGATTTCTAGGCCTCATTGCCACCAAATCTAACTCCTGAGATAGAAAGCCTCCCTTCCTCCAGCTCACTAGATGTCTTTGAGTGCTAAGCTCAGTTCTCTCTGGGTCCACTGATCTTCAGCTTGGGATTCAGGGTGCTGCTCAGTGTCCAGGCAGGTGTGGAAGAGATCGAGAGGCGTGACTTGTGGCTCAGCCTCCTACTGCTCCCCCGCCCCTCCTTCCTTCCAGGACTGCTTATCCCTTAGCTTCACAGATGGGGTGAGGGAAGGCAGAGATAAAGGAGCTCTCTCAGGCTCTCCTGACTCTGCCTGTATCCTTTTCCTTTATGAACTAGCAAGTGAGGACCCCAGATGGCAAGATAGAGTCCTGGGAAGCACAGGCCGAGCTGGGAGGGCAGGCAGTAGTGGGGATGGAGTTGCTTGGAGAATCAGGACTGTTTCTGTCACCAGCTGATTTAGGCTCTTTGCTGCTAGGAGAAGGTGACCCGGCTGGAGTTGGAGGATTGACAAGTTAACTGGTGCTTTTATTTTTCCCCCAGAGCTGGGACTTGAACAAGATCTTCTTACTGAGCTACATTCCCAGCCCTTTTTATTTTTATTTACTTTGAGTGCTTTTTTAAGTATCCAAGTTGCTCGAGCTGGGCTCAAACTTGGTATCCTCCGGTCTCAACCTCCTCACACTCAATCTCAAGTGTGTGTCAACCATCACACTTGGTCGACCAGTGCATTTAAAAGTCCATTTCTACCCATCTTGCAATGCCCCAGTCTCTGGAAGGAAACGCTTTGTCCAGGCTCTGCCACCAGCTTGCTGCATGACCTCAGTCCCCACCTCAGACTCAGTGTCCACAATGTTCATGAAGACTGAGTTTCCAGTGCCACCCCAGCCCAGCCACAGTGCCTCACCTTCCTTTCCGCACTGCTGTCCTTCTTCGTCCCTTTAATGAAATCAGTTCTCCCCTTCAAATATTGGTCAAACTCTGATAGGGTCATGTCCCCTTTCTCCATCAGGACATGCGGCAGGTGGGGCTCTGTGAGATGAGACCGACTTTCAGAACTTGTCCAGGGTGGGAGGGGGATACCAGGGGCCTCGATTTAGGGGCAGGTTTCATGGGGGTGGGCTCCTAGTTGGAAAAGGGGGTAGAATTGCTATGTGCCAGAAGCAGTTTGTGGCAGGAGGAAGACCCCTTAGCCAGGAAAACCCTCATGCTCATAGAGTGACTCTCTGCCCTGTCCGAGCCTCAGTTTACCCACGTGTAAGATGGAATTGGGCCCAGCCCAAAGAACTCTTAGATCTTTTCAGTTCCTGACATTCTTTGAATTCAAGAGGGAACAGGGTTGCTCCTTGAAGGTACAGAGCTGCCAGGGTCTCTCTGAGCCTAGAGTTTCTAAGAACCTCTGTTCAGCAGAGCCAGGGGCAAAATGCTCAGTGAGGGAGTAGAACTTCTGAAACTGGGATCTTCTGGACTTTTGAAACTGGGATCACAGCAAGGGACAGTTGATTTGGCAGCTATGACCAAGTTTCCCAGGTGGCAACTGGTTAGTCTCTTCCCCTCAGTCACACATCACCCTCCCTCATGCTCCGACTGGGCCTTCCCTCCCTTGTGGGCACCATACCACTGGGGTGGATGAGGATCTCCACGGGCCGGTCAAAGGTGTGCTTGTTGGCCAAGGTGATGATGATGCTTTTGGCTGAGCGTGCAGATGGGGCTGCATCTGCGCGGATTTCATGTGTGGGACTCTCCACCCCTGAGTGACACAGACAGCGGGCATGGATTTTCAGGAGCCCCTGGAGAGGAAGGAGCTGAGTGGGGGATACCAAGACCCATGCCAGAGGTGACTGACACGCCAGCCCCATCAGAGGCTCCTGGTGTTCTGGGTGGCCAAGGACTGAACTCCACAGCATCCTCATCTGCAAACATTGGGCTTAGACACCCGGTGTCTAATGGCTCTTCCTGCCCTGACTGCAGGGTCTGGTCAGAGGAGCTGCTTCCTTTCAGGAGACACAAACCACCTAACAAGCAACCAAGTAGGCAGAGCTCAAAGCTCCATGGGTCGCTGTTTTTGGGGGGTGTCCATGAATGTGCCTTGCATTGGAATGAACCCATACTGGTAAGAAACTACATCCTTGAGTCCTTTCACACCCAGAGGGAGTTGGAGGAGAGAAGCATCAGCATGCTGGTTCTCAGCCCCCCAGGAAATTTTTAAACTGGGCCTAGCATACACCCCAGAATCTCTGGGCTTGGTGGCTGGGCTGCGGTATGTTTGAAGCTCCCCAGATGAGATCAGGGAGGATATTTATGGCTGTGGCCTCCAGGAGAGAACAAAGAGACAGGATTCCCCAAGGGATATTTCCCTCTGTAAATGCTCGAGTGGAGCAGCCTTGAAAACTGTCTCATAAAGGGGTTCATCTCTGGGCTACTTGTTGGAGGAGTCAATGGCGTGGTGGTGGTGGGGGTGTCCTACAGCTCTGCTGCTTCAGCTTGTCTCCCGTCTGGGCCAGTGGGCTCCCCTGCCCTCCCTTTCCTCTGTCTCCCTGCAGCTTTGGGCCGGAAGCCCTCTCTACTTTGGGGATCCCTCCCCACTACCTTCCAACCTGGGCAACTGTCTGTCACCTGCAAGCAGACATGGCCCACGGATCTCCAGTTGAAAGTTGAAGTCATACTCCATAGGGTTCGACACCTCGGTGTCCAGCAGAGTCGCCAGGCACAGCTTGTTCCAGGAGTCCAGGGCCTGGGCACCGTAGCAGTGTGTTTCTTTGCTGAGAAGGTGCCACAGAGCAGAGGAAGAGGCAGTGGGCACAGAGGCAGGGCCAAGGGGGAGGGGACATAGGGAAGGGCTGTGAGACGGAGCGGCCAGCCACCCAGGGCCTGAGGGGCTCCCTTTAACCCCGACCTTGCTCTCCTGCTCAGCCTGACCCCGGGAAGGATAGCATGCCACGAGAAACCACGGCTTCCTCCAAGGAGCACCGTGAGAGGTCAGGTGCAGGTGCGGTGCTCCAGTGCATCTGTCCTCATCCTTCTTCCCAGAGCCCCGGATGGAAGGAGCAGCCCCACCCCCGACTGCACAGCAGTGCTGAGATAGGGGTGAGGTGAGGAGGCTGACATCCTGGCCCGGGGCTGCCTGGCTCCACGCTGTCATGGTCAGCATCTCATCCCAGGGCTTCTTGAATCCCTCCCTTGTCTCCATGAGCTGGGAGTCCTTAGCTAAGACACTCCTCTAAATGATGACTTTCTCATCCATTCAATGGAACAACACTCACAGCAGTGTCCATCACCTACGGGAAGCCTTCGCTGTCACGTGTTACACTCCCGGGCTGTCTATCTCTGACCCTGCTCTGTCCCCCTCCTCTTTGTAGACACAGCTTCCTGTGTATTCCCAAGGGTGCACATATCCTGGTAAAATGCCTGGTGGTCTCTGGTGGCTGTGTTTTAAGTGGACAAGAACATGCTATTGTGACTCTTATTTGTGCCCTTACATTTTTTATTTATTTAACTTTTTCCCCCTCCATAGTGGGGACACCAGAGCCTTTGTACTGACTACACATCCACCCCTTTTTCATTCTTTAGTTTGAGACAGCGTCTCATTAAGTTTCTAAGTTTTGGGGCTGGGGATTTAGCTCAGGGGCATAAGCACCTGCCTTGCAAGCAGGCGGTCGTGAGTTCGATGCCCAGTACCAATAAAAACAAAAAAGACAAAAAAAAAAAAAAAAAAAGAAACAAGTTTCTAAGTTTCCCAGGCTGGGCTTGAACCTGTGCTCCTCCTACTAATCTTTCTAGAATGCTCAGATTATGGGTGTGTGTTGCTGTTTTTAAGCTGTGTCCAGGTGGCTGTCAAACCAAGTTTTCGCTAACATGGTGCCGCTTGGGGGTGTCCACCTTGTATCCATTTGTTCCTGCCTCTACCTCCCTGTATCCACACTCATACCACCACGATCATGCTCACTGATGTCGCCTTTGCTTGTGTGAAAGAATTTTTCTGGTGTCCCCGGGTCAAGGGCAGGGGCTGAGTTCTGCCAGATTGCTTTTGGGGTCTAACTTCCACGGGCAGTGAGCAGGTGTCCCCTTCTATCCGTGGCCCCACTAACACTGGGTGTCATCCAACTTTCTTGTTTCCTTCCAGGTGTCAGTCTTTCCTAAGCATCTGCTAGACAGGGTGGGAAGAAGTTTATCTGGACTGCCCTGGGCTGTCAGGGCCTCTTGAGCCTCTTGAGCCTCTTGTTTCCTGACCTACCGGGTCCTGCCTCGCAAATGCACCAGACTTGCAGGCAATGGCAGTGTTGATGAAGACGCACGGGGGCTGATGTTTGCTGTTCTGAGGCTGTGTCATGCCACCAAATTCCCTGTGTGCTGGGTGTGTTCATCTGGCCTTTAAGGCCCTGCCGTGACCCCTCTCCTTCCCCCTCCTACCCTACCAGGAGAGTACGGAGGGACTGTCCTGCTACTGAGCTGTTCAATCTCCCCTTCTGCCTTGCTGGAAACCCTTTAAATAGCTTCTTGTTGCTTTGGGGAGAAACTCAAAGTCTTGGCAGGGCCAAGCATGTCCCAGGCTTTGGACCCTCATTTTATGCCATCTGTGCTTCTGCCCCTGATAGAAGCCCTGTCTTTACTACCTCAGGCCCTTTGTGCCTGCTGCTGTCTTGTGCAGGAATGCACCTCTGTGTGCCTACATCCTCCTCATCTTTAGCTGTCAGCAAAGCCTGGCTTGGTCTCTAGACACCCAGGTTGGGCCCTTGTTTTATGGCCTCTGCCCAAAGAACTTCTTCCTCATTGCACTTTTTGCATAATTATTTATATATTGGTATATGCAGCAGCGAGTTACACACTGAAATCCAAAATGGACAGTGATTCCTTCTTCCAAGTTCCTACACAGCAGGAACCATGTCAGTTTCCTTTCCTTTCTTTAACACCCAACTCAGTGTCTAGGATACAGCAGATGCTCAGAAAATACCTTTTAAGTGAACTGAAAAAGAAGCCCTGGGAATTATGATCCTCAACCACCCAAACCCAAGCACTTCTGCCAGTACCGATGTGGGGGCATTTTAAAGTGCTCTGAAGAAGGGGAGCAAATTACTCCAAGGGGGCACCTCACAGGCAGAGCCCCACCTTCCACTCCCCACCCCACCCATGCCTGCACCCTTGGCCTGATGGACTCCACCACCACAGCCGTGGCCAGGCCTCGGCAAGGCCTCCTTACCCCTGTGCCTGTGGGTGGGAAGGGCCGGCGCTCTTGGTGCAGAACTGAGGCACCGTCGGGGCACAGATGGCAGGCAGGAGGACCCTCACAGCCCCGCTGGGCAGCGTCAGGAGCTCCGATGAGGTGCTGATGAAGATGGTGACATTCTCCATGGGGGTGATGGTCCCCAAGTTGACCACGAACAGGACCCGCTCCAAGTCCTCATCCAAGGCCACCTTTCCCGGTGTGCAGGAATGAGGGGCGATGGGAACCCCCTCTTGCAGAAAGGTCCCTAAGTGCCAGGCTGGCGTCAGGGCTGTGCACATCATTTCTGATCCCCTCAAAGTTTGCTGTGCGGGTGGTTTGAGCAGCCCCATTTTGCTGATGGGAAAACAGGTCTGGCGTGGAGATGTCACTTGCCTAAGTCACTCAATCAATAACTAACACATCCACAAGGATCTGAATTCACACGGGCTTGATTCCAGGCTTTCTACTATACTTTACTGGGAGGGGGGACTTGGACCCATGTTCCACCCTCAGAGGATCACATTTCTTTCCCACAAACCCTGCCCCTACCCCAAACCCAGCTGAAGCACCCCTACCTCTGGGGTCCGTGCTTTTGATCGTGTTTTTTCCTCCTATCTGAAGGACTCATGCTTTTATTCCTACTCAGCCCCTCCTCCCTATCCGGCAGCCTCTCCGGGAAAGCTTGCTGGTCTCCAATCTGTTCTTGTCTTCCCCCCTATAACATTACGGAGACCTTTTTTCAACCTCCCACCTTGGTCTCTCCTAAGCATGTTCCACCTATCCTAGGTCGTGAGAAGTCATCACTCCAGGGGAACTTTGCACCTGACACATGGTGAACGTTCATTTAAAAAGTCTTGAACATCTTAACGATTAGGTAAACCAACTTCACCATGATGGGAGCCCAAGTCAGAATCTCACATCACATAATGCTTGGTCAGGGTCCAGCCCTAGCCCTGCCACTAGCGTGCTTCGTGACCTGGAGCCAGTCGTGGTGTCTCCCTGTGCCTCAGTTTCCTGCACTGCAGGACATGGTAGTTGTGCTGTGGGTATTTACTATGCTGGGAGTGATCTACATGCCTTGTCTTGTTTGGATACCGTGTATATAATTAGCCCCCTCTATAAAGATGAGGCTAATTTCTTATCTAAACTTATACCACTTGTAAGCAACAATCTCGGGAGTCGGATCTTGGGGTGACTCATTCCATAGCCTCTGAGCCTGAAGGACTGAGTATTCTGTGCTCTAGAGATGCCTTAAAAACCCTTCTGTTTCCTGTGCTCTCTTGATCCTCACTACATTTCAGAGGTGAAAACAGGAATAGTGGTTGCACAGGTAACGAAGCCCAGGTTCAGAGCAGCTAGTGACTGGCCTGGGGTCACATAGGATCACATCTCAAGATCCCTGGCTGATTCAGTGCTGTCTCCAGCCCATTCCATTGCTGTCCTAACCATCTGCCTAAGGCTCCTGCCCAGGCGGCCTCCAGCCCAGCCCCTGCTATGACCTTTTAGGTCTCCTTACCTGTGACAGTTGGGGATCGGGCACAGGAGGCATCCAAGAGGCTGCTCTCCAGCTTGGCTTTGTCCTTGATCTGCACCTTCACGACACGGTCTGCGATGACGGCCTCAAAGCCGATCACCGTGGTGCACTCATCCAGCAGATACACGAAGAGGCCTGTGGGAGGGGGTCAGCATTGCAGGTGCCCAGCCCTGCCCTGCACGCACACCTTGCTCTGGGCAAAGAACCTGAGACTTTGACCTGTACAATCGATGGGACTCAGGGTGGCCCTTAGAGGGCATAAATTATGGTCCAACTTCAGTCTCCGTCCTATCTCTCAGCCAAGTGACCTGGGATAGGATGTGTAGCTTCTCTAAATGTCATGGCCACATCTGCAAGATGGGCTGTCATGAAAATCAAAGCAACAACAATCAATAAAACAATAGCTACCGTGTGTTAAGCTATGTGCCCTGTATGACACATGTGCCACACTACTTATATATCTCAGGGCTTCTCAAACTGTAAGTGCACACGATCGGTTGGAGTGTCTTGCTAAAGAGCAAATCCACAGTTTGCAGGGTTCCTGGTAAGTCCTCCACTGACCCTGACTACCTGTCCCCGAGTCTCAGTATCCTCATCTGTAAAATGGGAGTGAACCCCTTGTTCCCCATGTTGGAACACAGATCTGTCTCAAAGTCATTCATGTGGGTCCTGCTGCAAGTCTCCTCCTCTAGAGGCTCTCACACAGAGGGGCGGGGCCATCTGCTCTCCCCAGATCTGTGCAGGGAAGAAAGTCTCCCTGCAGATTCCCTTCAGCCAGGGTCAGTCCTCAGGGCAGCCCTGGAATGGGGTAAGGTGGGAGGTCAGAGGTTGTTCAGTGGTTAGGGGGCCCCATCATTGCACAAGAGGACATCTTGGCCACAGTTAGTCTCCTGGCCAGCCTTCGGTCATGCCCTTCTTCATGGAATGAGAGACTCTTGATTTACAAGCAACCTGGCAGGCCTTTGGTCCCCACCCTGACTGCTTCACACGGATGATTTTATTCACAGGCTGTCATTCAGGTCCCACTGCCCTTCCTCCTGCTTTACCCCATCCTCTGCTCCTTGCACTCCCTGGTGTCTGGACAGGCAGAGAGGAGAACCCTGATATTATGGGAGACCAGGGCTCCCCCAAAGTTATAGAAGCCAGAGCTCATGGCTGGGTCTCCTGGCTTTAGCTGAGTCCTGACTCCGCTTGTGGGAAGGCTCCCTGCAGAGAGGGCAGCACTGACCATTTGGCTCTGTGAATATACCTGTGTCCCAAGTGCTGGACAATTGGTTGGGGCAGGGGCTGAGCTCCTCGGCTCAAATCCAGACTCTCTTCCTATTGGCTTCCAGGCCCGTGAGGTAGACATGGAGTTCCTATCTTATAGATCAGGAGACTAAGACGCAGAGGTCACTGCACTGGCCCAGTGTCCATTATCTAGTAGACGTCAGAAGGGACACTCAGCATGTGGGAGCAGCGCCTCTGGGAAGCTGCAACATGGGGGTCTTACCCTGGAAAGGCTGAGCCTCCAGATTGCCGTAGGTGAGGGAGGCGGTCAGGCCCAGGGCGTATCCGCTGACACAGGAGGTGACATCAGATGCGGTGAGCGGCAGGGCTGCCCCGGTGATGAGGTTCAGCAGGCCAGGCATCCCGCTGGCTACTCAGCCTTCAGGGCCTGCAGGAGACAGGGCCGGCAGGACATGGGGAGAAGCTCTCCACTCCTCTCAAAAACCTGCCCCCAGCCTTGGCAGTCAGGGCCTCAGTCTCTTCAGTCTTGACAAGGATCTCCCAGGTAGCGAGCCCATGATCACTACCAATATTTTCTGAGAGAAATCACCATTCTTTCTTTCCACTGAAAAGGTAGAGAAATTGAGGCCTGCTGGGATTCACTGACAGGGAAAGAGCCAAAGTGGCTTCCTGTCCGACCAGGAGATCCGCCCGCAGTCTGCACTAGGATGGCCTCCCAGCTCATCCCTTTGCGAGTCCCGTGATGCCTAACCCTCAGACTTTTCTCTGCACAGTGAGAGCCCTGGCACGGCTCACTCAGGCAGGCCCCTTCTTGGATACTGCAGACACACCAGAGTGAGGGCAGTCTTCATGACTCTAGGTGTGTTCTTCCTGCCACGTCTTAGCATTCCCTTACCCTGCCCATCACCAGGGCTTGTGGTCTCTCTCCGAAGAGGCTTCCTGCTTCCTCCTGCTCCTCTTTCCATGTTTGCTCTTCTCTGTCCCCAGCGCCCTGGTCCCACCCTCTCCACCTGGACCTCAGCTCCTTTTGATCTCTTGGATCTAATTTTCCTGGCTGAAAATTATTTTCCATTCAGTGACCAGAAGGGGTGTTCAACACAGAGTGCACACAACTGTGCTGCTCCTCCACCCTGTCTCACTGCCAGTGGCTTCCTATTGCTCTTTGAATATACACTAAACCTCTCAAGGTGGCCTGGTGTGTGCCTTCACAGCCGTCATCATAACTATTGCCATTGGAAGCTTCCGGTCCTCAAGTGTGTCCTGCTCTTTCCACCGCCGGGCTTGTGACTCAGCCTGGTGGGTTCATCCCACACTTGTTTTGTATCTAGAAACATCCCTCAGTGTCAATCTGGGTTCCCTCTGCAGGGAGGAGAGTGTGCCCAGCATCCTCAGGCACCCGTCTTCTAGAGCTGGCTTTCTGTCCTGAGCACACTGCCTGCCTTTGAGAGGTGACAGAAGGAAGCAAACTCACACAAAAGACACGGAACACAAATTCAAGGTCAGATTCTCCCCTGGTCTTTTTCTCTGACATAGGAACCAGGTCAAGCCTCCAAGGGCAGGTAGTCTGATGCCATCTATTTGAAAGTCTGTCCAGTGTTGTTAATTACTCTTCTTTTTCTCAAAGAACAAAGCTCCTTGCCTCTTGGTCCTCTTCATGTTTCTGCTAAGATCCTCATGACTCCCCTGGCTCCCATTAGACCAGCAGCATCTTTTTAATTTTGTGCTCTCTGTGGCTGGGACCCAGACAGTTCTCAGCCTGGCTTATCTCCTCCCAGCCTTCCTGATGACTGGAAGCAGATAAAGAACCAGGAGAGAGCTGCTGGATCCTCAGGACCTTCTCTCAGGAACGCTTTGTCCTGATGGCCAAAGCAGTGCCTGGATTCTCCAAAGGGACAGAACAAGATGGCGGAGTTCATTTCCTGAACACAACTCTTCTCCGGTTACCCACCCTCCCTCTCTCCTTCTCACCCTGGCTCACTCCTGTCTGGAATGCCAATCGGGAAATATTGCTCCAGAGAACCAGCATCTCAGTATGCAGTGAATTTAGATTTAAACCTCAGCCCAGGGGTAGAGTCTTTCCAAGGACATCTTGTCTAACCCGATTTTCCCACAAGGCCCCACACCTGAAGAGTGGGGCTTAGATGAGAGCAGTCTGACAGGAAAGGGCCAGACTCACTCTGCACTGACCCTTTAAGAATAACAGAACTTCTTTGAAAGCCTAAGCCAGAAATCTTGCGGGCCTAATTCCTGCATTTCTTTCATCGATTCATTCAGTATTGATAAACACCTACTGTATTTGGGCCCCTAATTAGCCACTGGGTATACAAGGATCAAACACAGCCCACCCTCTAGGAATTTATTATCTTGCAATAGAGGAAATTGGGGAGCAGGAAGATAGACTAATGACGATTTATGGAATTTATGAAAACAGGGAAAATATGCCAGGCACACACATTGTCACATTGCCTCATCTTGTCCTTAAAAAACCTTATAAGGTGTTCTGCAGCTGAGACGCCAAAGCTTTGATGGGTGTATCTGGTTCTGGATGTAAGACTGAGGCCTCTGAAGGACACATGGGTTTAGCTGGGGCTTGGATAGGACTTCTGCTAGGAGGAGACCAAGGCCATCCTTGTGGGAGTGGAGAGCAATTATGCTGACAGTTGCCCCCACCCCTGGGTTCTTCCCAAGCTGCGTTTCAAGTGGGCCTTGAGCCACAGGAAACACCAGGGGGCAGGGACAAAATCACCAGTGCCTCTCTGGGTAGTGTGAGAGGCTACGGCCTGGCTCTAGGGATGGTGTCTGGTGTGAGTGGGCCATTTGGTGGTCAGGAGCATCCTTTATGTGTTTGTCTTCCCTGCTTCCTGCCTTCCTCCTTCCCTGGCCTGCCACACAACCTGTCTGCCCAGTTCCTTGCCTTTGAGGATGAGTCTGGAAAGTGGCTGGGCGGGGGGAGGAAAGAAGGGCTGAAATGGGCTGGGGCTGGGGACGGGAGGAGAGGGAGGGGCTTACAGCCTGGGTGGGGATTGAAGGGGTGCCCTCCAGGGAAATCAGTGTGGAGAGTCCTCAAAAAGCTAAAAGCAGAAATTCCTAATTCCATCTGACCCAGCTATAGCTCATCTGGATACCTTCCTGAAAGATTTAAAGTCATCATATTACAGTGATAGATGCAAACCCGTGTTTATAGCAGCACAATTCACAGTAGTTAAATTATGGAAATGGTCTATATGCCCATCACTGTATAAAGTGGATGAAGAAAATGTGGTGTATATGTGCAATAAAGTGAGTCATTTGCAAGAAAATTGATGGATCTTGAGACCGTAATGCTAAGTCTCACTAAATCAGACACAGAAGGTTAAATATCACATGGTTTCTCTCATATGAGAAACCCGAAATATAAATAATTTAAAGAACAAAATAAAAAAGAGGTGGCAGGAAACAAAAGATGCTCTGCAGAGGTGGGAAGAGGACCTGGGGTAGAGGTGATCAAGATGCAATATGTATCCGTACCAATTCCTCAAGATGAAGGTAATTACGTGGAGCACAAACATACATAACATTTGAGAAGAAGAAAGATTAAAAAAAAAAAAAAGAAGTGGCTGCCCAGAGTTATAAATTGGGTCCCACTGCACATCCTCCAAGAGGCTCATAGAAAGATCCAAATAACGTGGGCAATGGACTGTGCTTCTTTGGTGGACTGCTGGGCTGAATATGAACATTGAAATTCTTTCTGTACTGCTCCCAGGAGGTTCCTGGTTTGTCTGTTAAATGCCAAGACTGTCTCCCGATGGCCTAGAAATGACGATTCCCAAAGGATTGCCTTCTTTCTGGCCAGAGCATTGTTTATAATTATGCCTGGCTGGGTAAATATTTACAAGGTGACGTGAATGAATGATGTCAGTCACCCCCAAGGACACTGAAGGGCACTTGGTGCAGGGAATGCAGTGGGAACAAGGCAAGGTGATTGGAAACTGGCGGAAGAGACAAAGAAGAAAACCACAGGCTCAGAGTCAGACCCCTTCCTGTCACCTCCACAGCTGCCACCCCATTGTCTTTCTCCGAGCATCAGCGGAGCAGCCCGAGTGGTCCTTCCGCAAGGATCCAGTTGTGGGACCCTGTGGCCTCCGTCTCCTGAATTTCCCAGGTCCCTTGAGCTCCAGAGGGAGGGAAGGGCTCACAGAGCGCCTGGTTTCTTTCTGACCTCTTCTTGGTGTCTTTGTTTTAGAGTTTTGCCTTGGGCATTTTGCATTGGCTTTTCCCACTCCTGAGGACACTCTTCCCCTAGGTGGTCAAATGGTCTGGTCCCTCAGCCCTTCAGATTTTTGTCCAAATGGTATCTGCTCATAGAGACCACCTATAGCCTCTTATTTAATCGTGTAGCCTCTTCCCCACCTTCCCCTCCAATTCCTAGCCTTATCTGTTTCATTGTGTACATCACCAGCACACTATATTGAAATATGTATTACGTCCACTACATATCATCTGCTTTTTCACCACAAAAGCAGGGATTGGGGCCTGATTTTCTTAAATACCCAAGGGCCTTGAATTGTTCCTGCACTGGTAGTGGAGAGTAAGTACTTGTTGAATGAACGAGTCCATTTATAATCACAGTGCCCAGCCAGCCACTTTGGAGTTCCATTGGTCCAACTGAGGGACAGAAGTCCTCTGGCCACCACGTCTGAGGGACTCCTTGTTCCAGTGTGTGCCAACCAGGGCTCTACACCTCCCTGCACTGCCTTTGCAGAGACCCTACTCACCTGTGACAGACCACAGGAGACTCTGCGTCATTCTGCACCCTGTGCCAACCCCTAGCCATTGGCCTAGCCGCTGTGGCCTCTGCCCCCAGCACTCTGTCCGCAGCCTGCAAGCTCCCTGTACTCTGTGTGGCTCCTGAGATGCTCTGTCCTTACCTGAGTGCCTGCACCACCCACCTTCTCTCCAGGGGGCTCCTTTCCACGCCTCCAAGGCAGGAGGATGTGGTCCCGTCTTTGGTCCCTGCTCCAAGGCCAACGCTCTGATGCCTTTTTAAAGCGTCCTCCTCCTTGGGGTCCTGCTGCCTTTGGCTACCCTGTCCCTTATTGATGGCCATCTCCAAGGCCCCCGTCACACCTTCCTTTCAGCACCCACTTGGCACCTGGCCCAAGTCCTGCTATCATCATGGGAACGGGAACAGGAACAGAGCATCAGCTCCCTGAGCATTCATCCTCTGACTTCCTGCTTCCTTTGTGCTCGGTCCCTTTGCTCAGCCTCCTCTTCCAATCTCATGCCTTGAACCTCAGACGCCACAATGTCTATTATGTGTATTTACCTTTTTTATTGCGCCTCCTCACCCTCTAGAGCACAAATCCTTGAGGGCAGGGATTCTGTTTCAGCTTGCCTGCTACCAGGTGTGCTACCTATACATTAGCCTGGGCACCCTGGAGAGGTCAG